GGGGCAGCGCAAACTATCAGGGCATGAAAAAAAGCACACAAGTGCAACTGCGCTTGTTGTGTCCTCTTTCTGGGTCCTGTTAGTTTGCGCCGACTATATTTTACTATGGATATCAGCCTTTCAACCCTTCTGGAAGGCGCTAATCATAAATTTTCCTCTCATAAGTTGCCTTGAACCTAACTAATACCTCCGATCGCAATACAATTCTAAACAAGGTTGACATATGTGAAAAAACACTCTAAATGTTTTCTCAGTTGACAAAATATCTTGCTGCTAAATTGTTGCTGTAGGTTGTCTGTAAATTAGAAACAGCAGGCTCCGTTTTATTGAGGTTTTGGAATTTTTTTTGTATCGCCACACAGCACGTATCCGTCATAACGTGTACGCCATCTGTATGTTCCTAAACACGGCAGCTCTGTCATCCTTAACTCAAAATAACTCTGTAACTCAGAATACAAGATTTCCGCTATTTGAAAAACCAAAAGGACGTGGTCGCTTCAGAACCGCAGCCCATAAATTATTCTGTTATTGAATGAAAACATAGGCATTTAAAGCTTCTGTCACATTAGAGGGAAAATTTAGGCACGGTACGAAGCACAGGAAAAGAGCAAGATGACGCTCTTGTCCAGTTTTTGTGGTGCTTAAGCACCTAAAATTTTCCTTCAAGTGATTTGCCAACTATCCCACTTACAAGTTTTTCGAGGTAATCCTAGATTTTCTATTTCTCTTTACTATTTTGTCGTCACTCAGAGTGGAAAACGGGTGACTTCGCTTAATGGGCATATCTGTACCTCAATAGGTCGTCTTGCTTTTTCGTTATGTTAAAGAAAATGTTACTGTTGCACAGGCCATAGGGTACTCTTAGTTTTGGGGGTAATTTAATTTGCAAAAATTAACGAAAGAAGTTTTTGCTGAATACGGGGTAGGTGTGGAACACCAGTACTGTGAAAATGCTGGTGGTTCATAAGACAGTTGATGCTCCTTATGTTTTGAAAGCAGGGTGTTTCATCATATGCAATGTACACATCAAGAATTGATGTTCCATATTGCATGAGTGTTTGCATGTTTGACATTGCTTTTTCAACTTACACTATAATGCTATCTGCATGTACTGTGCATACACCACTCCTACTGCTGTAGGCCAAGTACAGAATGGCGACTCATTCAACAAAACATGGCTTTATTTATTTGAACAAATAAACAGATGTTGTTAACTGGCTTGTGACATTTCGATGGTCCTCACACTGCAACTTCATCACTTTGTTTGCTCCTGAAAGGAATGTGAAAAATAAAGTTATCAGAACATTTCCCATACGGCTCTTGCAGCGCACATTACCATAATTCCAGAAACCAGGCATTTCCCGACCGGCTCTGATCACGTCCACAGTGAGCAGCATCATTTTGAGAATTTTTTTCATCATAGAGCAAAAATAGAACTTGAAAAACGTGAAACTGCACACGACAAACACCATCATTGTATGTGTGTGTGTGAAACGACCAGTGCTGGAAACATAGTACTGCAGAGAAAACACGACCTAACAAGCAGCGCCAGCTAGAGTTTTTTTTTTTTTTTGCTTGTGTTTTGTTATTTGTCGTGTACATTTCGTGTGCTGCTTAGAAGCAGAGGCATTATATGATTATTTGGCTCCACGTCGACTAGTTGTCAGTCTTCGTGCTTGTATAGCATAGACAGCTGTCCCGCCAAACTATACGGCTCATGCACACCTAAACCTATATTCACACCATCATCTATTCACCTTTTCATAAACGCCTCCCTGGGCGCCGCCATAGCCCTTCTTGGGCTGTGCAAATTGGCGCGTCCCCTCGAAAATGCACTGGCAACGCTGCGCCTTTAGCCTTTGTACTCCCGCGCACAGCCCATCATGGTGGTGTTTTTCTCCTTCTTGTGAAAAGGTGTATATTAGTGTACTATACACTTCGTGGTCCCGACAAAATCAGTGTATACACAGCGCTCTTGTGCCAAGTGGAAGATCAGAGCGCTCCATGGTTGCTCGGTGCTGATGCCGGCTGTAAGCACCTTTGCGCAAGCGCTGTTCTATAATTGACAACCGTAATAATAACTGCTTAGGTATAATTACGACCACCAGGGGTACGTTAACATGTACTCCAAATCTAAATACACAGCACTTGAGCTTTTTCTCTTCTGTTCAAAACGCGCCTGCGGTGGCCAGGTTCCCGCGAACGTCGGTTCAGCATTTGAGCATCATAACACCGACACGGCGAATGAATAGCACTGCGCAACGCGTAGCACGTTCATAACAGTATGTACTGGGCGGTTTACTGCTAAATGAAATGTGGGAGCACACGGCGACCAAAGGTGGTGGCTGCGCCCTCCTCCTCGAGCTTCTCAGCGCCTAAAAAAATCGCTGCATCTGAGCGTCGGGGACTTTCTTGCCCACGTTTAGTAGATACGATGTAAATATAAACATTTCGTTTTCTTCTGGCTTCATTTCGCCTTGCCACTGCCTGGATGCTCCCTCCCCAGCGTAGGCCCTCGTGACGCGCTACCTTAGAGACCGTTGGCCCCTCTATCTTTGTAATGATACAGTGATGACAGCTGATACAAGAAACCAACACCCACGAAAAAGAGAAATCGAGCATTTGCCTGGAACATTTGTGATGACAGGAACACTGACTGCCAGCAATGGTGCACAATGCACCGCCACGGCATGGCAGAGCCTCGGTGTATCCATTTTCGGGAGCGCACAGCCACTTTCTCCGTGAAGATGCCTGGCTAACACACAAAGTACGAACGACATCTTTCATCACACCGCGCCCAAAAGCAATCACATGTATATCGTAACGAACCGCTACGCGCGCACAGGAACCACGAAATATTGCACGACGCCCCACAACCGCAAGTGACGAGTAAAAAAGCGTCCATGGCGTTGCTTCCAGCTTCCCGAATGCTAGCGCACCACGTGCCAAAATACATCAGCTTGACGTTATTTTCCTCTCTTTTACGGAATGAGCACAGAAACGGAAACTTGGAGTGCCCATTCACGGTCTTCCCCACCGCTTTATTAAAAACGGAGCACAATAATATTGTTGTACGTCCACTTCCACCATTTTTCAAGAAACAAAGTACAGTCTGTGATTTTCACGGTCAGTTTCGACGTTGAAACACCATGTTTGTTACAGTAAAGAGAAGAGTCTCTCACGAGGATTAGAACCGATGATTACTCCGTCATAAGCGGGCTTGAAGTTAAATTCACATTAACCTGGTATTGGAACACTAACAAAGATCACCTGCAGGTTAATATTTAGTGACATGGTGCTACCAAAGAAAATAATTAAGAGAGATACCGCGAGCGTGAGTAGGTACTATTTTCTCTTTATTTGTGGTGTTATCTTAATTAGATAATTAGCTAAATAACCCCAGTTTTTTCGACGGAAAAGACTGCCTCAGGCAGATAAATGTACTGCTATGGGCTATTGCATCGTCAGCGGTATGCACACACTAATCTAAGATTTCCCCAGAGTATTCGTACGACTGTGAACGCAAATTAGGTAAACACACGTGTTTCTTGCTTCGGCATCGAAATGGCGCCCCCAAGTTTTTGCCTTTCGTACTGCGCCGCGTAACCTTCTCCGGGCTTCGAAAGGAGGCGCTACGTCCCGTGATCGCGTTGACACCGGTAAAGCCGCGCCAAGCTCAATGCCTTCTCCAAAAAACCCCCACCAGAAACAACGTCCAGCTATACAACTATTGTAGAGCATCTGGCAGCAGCAATATAGCCCGTGTTTTAGCGCCATCTAATTTACTGCCACGCGCGTTTACGTCCACAAATATATTCCGCAAACTCCACATCATTCAGACAGTGGTTGTCGTGGAAGCATATCCGACGACATCGACTCAACTTATATTAGGAAACACTTCACGTGGAGCTGAGGCGCTCGCATAACACTTACCCCCGTATTCTAGAACCTCCCTTCACTCAACACTCCGCTTTCACTTGAAAAAGCCGATGGGGGCGCCATCTCTAGGTACGGCAAGTCACTGCATATCAGCAATAGTCTGCTGCGATTCTTGAGTAGCGCAGCGTCATTTTCAGCCGAGTGGTGGCGCAGTGCTCAACTTTGTCAAGTGAAGGGTGAAAGTCGAGTCGAGGAGCGTTTGTGAATACGGGGGTTAGTCTCGGTAAGTCATCGCATTCCTTTCTGTAATGTCGGTGAGCTAAGTTGACCTTCTCTTCTCATCAATATACACAACGTATGCACGCCGAGCTCTCGTTCGTGCTGTTTATATTCTTTTTTTTTTTTTGCTTCTCCATCGGGTACGTGACCGATTGCCACAAAATTATTTTCCCGGACTGGAGATGCCCTGTGGCATCTCGCCAACTTTGGCGCGTCTGCGGCGGCGCTACATATTCCGTCCACTCAGGCACGTCCCTGCTCAACGGCAACGAATGTTCGAGCGTTAACTCGCTCTCCTATAGAAGATACACTTTCTGCATACTAACATCGATGAAGACTGCGCAAGTAAACCCGTAGGTTAGAAACTTCAATAACATTCTTGTGCGTTCGTGGACCGTATAGCACTGCCAAGCCCAAACAGAAGTGCAGTACGACGTTTTAGTTGCCCACTGTGATGTCGAAGACCTTACAGGACCATATTTATGTTTTTTTTTATAAGCCATCACGCGCATGCAACCATCTCACCAACAGTTGTGTCGTATCCAAATAGTTAAGTTAACTACTTTTTTCCTTTGTATTTTAAGTCTCACCACTTACATACGTTATTTAATGAGTGATTTGGGAAATTAAAAAAAAACGCGTGTACGTAAGTGCCTCAACGTCAGCGTAACGCAGGATCCGACCTTGCTTAAAACCATCTTCAAGTAAATAGTTCGCGAAGGGCATAGCTTATAGCAAGGTCGGACTGGTCTTCCCATTAGTTGTGGACGTCTTCGGTGTGGGTGGTGAATCGATAGAGTACCTGATCTTCAGACAAACGGTGCTTTTCACGAGATACCGGCATGAGGTTTTATGTCTTGTGGTTAACATTAGCTTTCTATTTCGATGTTAACCCCAATCAGGGAGGCAAAGTTGACTGCCACTCTGACGCCCTGTCCGCGACTGTGACTACGCCTGTGGTGTCGGAACAGCGAAATGATTCCACCACGTCGGCGGCAATCGCCAGTGTACTCGTAGAACCCACGACAACTACGAGCGCGCCTCTGAAGAAGACCCAATTTCTGGACGCAGCAAAGGATTTCATTGCTAAGAGCATGGCTAGCTCTGGAGGCGGATTTGCTCGAAAGCTACTGCAGGCCGACATATCGAGCGAGTGCAGCATCGGCATCTTGAAATTCATGAGAGCGGTGAAGGACCTAGAACCATGGGCCTTGAGATGTGAGTATGCAGTCATGGCATATGTAAGACGGAGAATCCTTAAAGAGAAAACGGTACGCGGCACTGAAACGGTCTTGTCATTCGCGACAATAGGTCTCATTTTGCTTACCATGCAATATTAGATGCATTACATTATATCTGTACGCCACGCACACCAATTCGTCATTGCACGTTCATGATCTCTGGGGAAAAAACTCAACCCTTCTTGGTTACACAACTTTTTACGTGTCCTACTTTTCTCTGGCCTTCTTTAGTACGACCGTGTCCGGTCTAGACTGATGTTCGCACATCGCACGCAATGACAGCCTTATACATACACCCTATACTTAGGGGCAGGTGAATGGGCTACAGGATTGTCAAAGGGGAATTCCCTCTTCATGCGACCTAGAAACGCTGTTCGTCACCGTGAAGGTAAACACAAAAATTGTCTTACAAATTAATTCAAATGAAAAGCACTTTGCACGTCCATATGCCCCCTCTCGGAGGATTGAACGCTCTCAACGTTACTCAGCCTCAAGTGCATGACGTGTCACCGCTTCTTTCAGCGTCACGTGCAATGTGGATTAAGCTTACTGAACTACACGATTACGGGCCGTTGTTTTATTTTGTTTCGCTCCGCTGATCTATCTGTGCACGGTCTGTGCTCTTTCACACAGACTCCCCCCACCCCCTCCTTCAGATCCTAAAGAAGAAGCAAATAAGCAAGGGATGACGATGTTGACCCCCTTTTTAATCAGTGATGTGTTTATGCACGATCTCTCACGAAGCACTCCCTGCCTTTCCTTGCATCTTTATCTCTCTCTCTCTCTCTCTCACGAAGCAGAAAAAAAAGTGAGAAATATAGTAACAAACGCAAGAACATAAAGCCCGAGAAACAAGCTACAATAATGCTACGTGTACCAGGAAATTTCCGGAGGCTCGCTTTTTTTTTTTTTTGTTTAACGTAATGGTAATGCAAACAGAAGATAATGAGACCAAGGAATGTAAAGGTAGGATATTCTTTAAATTCACTTCCTTCGTTCATTCAAGCGTGTGCTCAGATTTGGGTGCACGTTGAAGAACCTTTGCGTGTAAACTTTGCGTGTAAACTTTGTGCACTGTACCACTCCTGCCCTGGCTGCCAAAGGGTGGCTGGCAGTATTGAATAAACAAAACAAACAAAACAAAACCCCAGGTGGTCGAAATTTCCGCAGCCATACGGCATCCCTCATAATCATATGGTGGTTTTGGGACGTTAAACTCCACTTATGAATCAATTCGTTCATTCAAAGCCATGGTTGAGGTTCCTGAATTCATGAGGTGTTGAATTCAGAAAGTTTGCAAGGGCTTATTCGTGACGATGAAATGTTGGGTTTAACGTCCCAAAACCACCATATGATTATGAGAGACGCCGTAGTAGAGGGCTCCGGAAATTTCAACCACCTGGGGTCTTTTAACGTGCACCCAAATCTGAGAACACGGGCCTACAACAATCCCGCCTCCGTTGGAAATGCAGCCGCCGCAGCCGAAGGGCTTATTCGTCAGCTGCCCGCTTGTTAAAGGCTCGCGAGCTACGTGACACCTTCGGGGAAAGCTCACCGCCATATCCACAAAGTGAATGATGTTAGAGGAACTTGCTGGGAGATGATCGGGTAACCCGCGAATGTTCCGTACAGATTCCTCTACCTTCATATAAATGCATAATGGGTTAGCTTGATGGCGCGCCCACTTCGCTGGCCCGCCGCTCCAGGTTTGTTTGACTACTAGTCCTCTTCGGTGTGGCCTCCCGTGCTCTCACCGAAAACACTTGGCGTTGAGCCCGAGATATTGATACGTTGCGAGCCCACCGTGATTCTACCTTTGCTTTTGTTCGGTTCATTTTGCGGAGCGCTAATGAAGAGCGTTCACTAAGTGAGCTTCCAGCGAAAAGAAAAGTAGCATGCCGAACGTGACCTATGCTTACAGGTGTGGCCCTCTAGCGGTCACCTATTTGACTAGAGCACCCGCCGCCAAGTGTGCTGGTGGTGTGCGAGCACCGCTTGCGTGACTGGCCGGAGAGAGCGCTGTCAGGCTATGGTGGCTAGTCAGGCGTTCTGGTACACTCTAGCCAGGCCCCGGAAACTGTACGCTAGTTACGGTTTCAAAGAACATGTGCGCTCGTAGCACCTGCCGGGCGTCGTATACTATAAATACCTGTTTGAACGGAGTGAGTTGTACGTGGGTGTACGGTTTTGTTGTTTTTCACTAGTTTTTACAAATAAAGACATTCAATTTAATTGCAAAATTCTCATACCTTGTTTATGTGTATTTCATTTATTTTGTGGATTTTGAACCGGCAGAAACACGGGAAGAGTTGTTTAGTGCTTGCCTCCGCTCCCCCTCGCCACTCGCTCCGCGATACCACAAGTTCGATCATGCTCGGTTAGCGTACCAAGTACGAATACTGGAGAGATGAGAAATTTGATGTGGACATGCAGTGCAACAAGTGGAAGCCGCTGTGAGCCACGTCGGGCAGGTTGACCATGCATTGGACGGAGATGGCTAAATCGGGGCATCACGTGTTTAGGGCGACTCCTTGGTGTGTTAAACCAAGAATTTGCAGTTTTTAGTTTTTTGGTGACAACGATTTCTTGCAGTTGTGCATGACTAGACCCAATTCTCTGGTAGCCTGACTGTACTGACATAAGCACAGTATCGCTAGTCTAATTTGTGATGCCTAGAGCTATATCTGCTGCCGGCAAATTTAATTTCATGAAATGCTTCTATGCGTGCTGACTCGGCTACAGAGTTTGTTTCAATCCTTCACTTCTGGCATGTAGTTCAAATGATTTCAAGAAATTATCGCCTCCTTCCTATTCGTGGAAATGCATAGAGCAAGTTTGAAACTCTGTGGGCTTTTCCTTCTAATATTTTAAATTAAATAGATGTAAAGGACGCCCTGATGCTTTCAGAAATAGTTTAACGTAGAATGTCACTGGAGTCAACGTTCCAACAACTGGTCCTTTCTTCCTCAAGGCAATGCCTAATGAAAAAGAAGCCAACGGACCAAGACGTATTTTCTGGTGACATTCGCTGCTTAGCCACGTCTCATAACTTCACGCCTCCATCTTGCCCTGAACTTAAGTCTTGTTTGGTACTCAACGTCTGAAATAAATTAAATTATGCTCGGCTTCATAGCAAACGTGACTTAAACAAGAAGAACGTGACCTGCTCGTAATTGGTAATGATTTCCCATGGATTCTGATATTTTTGCATGATTGCTTAATCATTATGGGCATATTTCAGTTGTGAAATGAATCTGCTTTCGCAAATAGGCTATTCCATATACTCTCTTGTCTGCTTTTAGTATGAAATGGGTGATTCAAAAGAACACTAATTTAACTTGATTGAGTTTTGTCTTTTTGATAAATCAGTCAGTTTCCGTTTGTCACTTCTCTACACGCGACCAAAATTTAAAAAAAGATCATTAGCTAAATTTAACGAACAGCTCCGTCGGCCGAGCGGTCAGAGCACCTGCAAGAGAGCACGAACACATTCCCTTGCACGTGAAGTGGGAAAGGAGAGTTATCACGGCAACCCCGTCCCCTCGGTTTTCTCCCTTTCCCTCTATTTTCTGACGTGGCCCACCAGTGACTTCGTAAAAAAATGTTTTGTCTGTGAAATATTTTTAGTAGGAGGAAGAAAGTTTAAGCGGGAAGACAAGGAGGTTAGCCAGTTCTTAGACCGGCTGGCTACCCTGTGCTGGGGAAAGGGGTGAGGGGAATGAAATATGTTAAAAAGAAATGTTGCGAAGAGAGGGAGAAATTACAAAAAATTGTGACAGAAGAAAGGCAACATCAAAGAGTACAAGACACCAAAGTCTGTCTCTGAGGCCAGTTGTCCGCAAAAAACGCAGCAAAGCTTTCAAAGCCTTCTGGGCTGAGGATGGGCTCGGCCAATGACCCAGAATCCTTCGTTCCGACAAAGGCCGGTCGTCTAGTCTATACCCAATGATATAAGAGTATGCGTTCGTGAAGGCCACTCCAAGCCACAGGTGGCATAGAAGAGTCTCCTCAGCTCGAGATATCCTTGGGGGAAGACGAAGCTTAAGATCGGGATCCAAGTTATGCAGGCGCGCGTTTGTGAAGTCTGTTGAGTTCCACTGTACCAGTGTTGAGGTCACGTGCAAGCGAACGAAGTCTTGTAGCTGCGTCGGTTCTGAGAACGGTATGGCTGTGTATGGGTACCATCGTGTGCGGATCTAGTGGCCTCATCTGCGCGGTCATTGCCATATATAAATATATACCACAACGACCTGGTATCCACTGATACACTATGCTGTGCTGTTTTTCGGTTGCTTGGTGATGAAGAAGCCTTATTTCAGCTACTAAGTGCTCATTGGATCCATGGCGAAAGGGTGATATAAGACATTGAAGAGATGCCTTCGAGTCCGAGAAGATTGACCAAATTCCCGAAGGTTCTTTCACTATAAACTCCAGAGCTGCACGAATGGCTGCAAGTTCTGCAGCTGTCGACGACGTCAAATGCGATGTCTTGAAATTAATTGTGATGTGCCTCGCGGGAATAACCACCGCCCTGCAGAGCTTACTGAAGACACCGAGCCATCCGTGTAAATGTGAAGGCGTCCGTTGTGCTTCTCTTGCAGGAAAAGTAATGTGGCCTGTTTCAGGGCTAGATGCGACGACTTTTTCTTATTTTGGATGCCAGGAATTGTAAGAAGGGCTTTAAGTGGGTGTAGGCCCCATAATGGTATCGGTGGCTGTGCTGCATGCGTGAAATGCAATGGAAGCACTGCGCAATGCTGAGCTACAGTTGCGCTGAACGCTGAGTGGGGCCTGGAAGTTCGAAGTGAGGCGAGGTGATGAGATGGAAGCCGAGCGAAATGTCTTATGTGCATTCTCAAAGCGTCAACGCGGATGTATGCGTTGACTGGATAATCACGTGCAATGATGACTGTCGCTGCTGTAGACGCGCATCTCGGGAGACCAAGGCATATTCTCAGGGCTTGGGCTTGGGTCGACTGGAGGACGCGCAAGTTTATTCTTCGGATCCCGCAAAGTACGGGTAAGCTGTATCGCATATAACCGAGGAACAGAACAGTGTAGAGTTGGAGCATTGCTTGTACCGATGCACCCCACGTTTTTCCAGCAAAAAACCTCAGTACGTGGGTGATCATGGTGAGTTTAGTTTTCATGTGGGCGATGTGAGGGCTCCAGGAGAGGTCGCCATCAACTATGATTCCGAGGAATCGGTGGGTCTTCACGTAGTTGATCGTGTGTCCGCTGATTTTAATAACATATGGGCTCATAGCCTTATGCGTGAATGCTACAAGCGAGCATTTCTCTGATGACAGCTCCAGTCCCCGTTCTTCCAGGTACTTTGTCGCTATTGTAGCCGCTCTCTCAAGCCGGGCACGCAAATGAAGGCGTGTTACGCCTGACGCCCAGATGCAGCTGTCATCTGCATATATTGATAGATGGACAGATTCTGGAAGTGCGTCAACCAGGCCGAGTAGCGCTAGATTGAAAAGTGTGGGGCTAAGAACACCGCCTTGAGGCACACCTAGACGGTTGCAATGGTGTGTTGTTGTGCCATTCTCCGTCTGTACAAAAAAGTTCTGCCTTTCAGATAGCTGTGGATCCATTGGTAAACCCGACCCCCTAATCCAACATTTTCCATGACATCCAGAATGGCTTCACGTGATACGTTATCGTACGCACCTTTCACGTCCAAGAACAACGCCGCAAATAAACGTTTCAGTCTTTTTTGATGCTGAACAGATGAGACCAGGTCTATAACGTTATCAATTGCGGACCGCCCAGGCCGAAAGCCCGTCATAGCATGAGGGTATACCTCGTGGCGCTCCAGGTACCACTCTAGGCGAGTCAAAATCATCCTCTCCATCACTTTCTTTCCCGAAACAGCTGGTAAGCGCGATGGGGTGATAAGAGGTCAAGTGCAGAGGAGATTTACCTGGTTTAAGCACAGGGACGAGGCAGCTGGATTTCCATGAATGAGGGATAAATCTGCTGCTCCACGAGTCGTTGTACATGGATAGATGGGCCCGTCGAGCTTCTTCTCCGAGGTTGCAAAGAGCCATGTACGTGATCCCATCCGGACCAGGCGATGAAGATCATTTGCATGCCGTCAAGGCCGCTTGTAGTTCCTCTAGAGAGAAAAAGGTGTCCATTCTTGAATCTCTGGAAACTGGAGCATTTTATAGGTGGCGCGTGGTGCACGCGGACGCATGACCGGCAACTTTCATGCAGAAATCTTCTGCTACTTCAATTTCGGTGCGTCCTTGGTGGAGAGAAAGACACTTGAAGGGGCGATGTTGATGTGGTGATCTTCGCAGGCCATGGACAATCCTCCATGTCTGCGTCAAAGGCATGTGTGCATCCAAAGATTCGCACAGATATTTCCAGCGAAAGGATTGAAGTGAAATGATTCGCCGCTGGATTTTTTTTTCTGTAGGCGCCTTGCCTCCCTCAAGTCGTGAATGGACTTAGTGCGCCTATATCTTCTTTCTGAGCGACGACGGATCGCTCTGAGACGTTCCAATTCCGCTTGATGTTGACAATAATCTGAAGTATGTTGAATATGACAGGTCGCTTCTTGAGTAGCACCTCTAATCATATCCTCGAGGGTGTCAAGAGGAGGCGTTTTATTTTCTTGCCACCTTTTTTTCCGTCAGTGACCTAAACTTTGTCCAGTCGATGCGAGTCGAAGTGTTGTAGTTTAGCGATTTTTCCAGGCCCTTGATCTTCAAATAAGTTGGTATGTGGTCGCTTCCGTGAGTTTCATAGTCTGCGAACCACTTTACCTTTCCATTTAGGCTTCGTGACACAAATGTCAAGTCAAGGCAGCTGCTGTATGTCGTTCCCCGTAGAAACGTTGGGCTTCCGTCGTGTACACAAAGCAGCTGCTGCTCCAGAGCAAAGGAAAATACTTGCCTTCCGCGACTGTCTGTCTTCTGACTTCCCCATAGTGGGTGGTGAGCGTTGAAATCTCCGGTGATGATCCATGGTCCAGGTGTGGCTGTTAACAGTGCACGTAGTCTTTCAGGTTCAAAACGGTTTGAAGGTGATATATGTGCGCCTACAAGCGTGAAATTGAGGTCTCTACGTTTAACTGTCAAGCAGACATACTGGTTGTCATCGTGAGGGGCTACACGGTGCTCGATATAGGTAAGGTCGCATCTGATATATACAATGACTTTACTCTGTTCGTTGCAAGTAGCGGACTTGAAGGCTTCGTACCTGGATAGTCGTATTGCATTGCGTAGCCTTGGCTCACAGATAACAATAATTGGAAACTGGTTTTTATACACAAATTGTCAGATATCAGAAATGAGGGGCTTGAGGCCTCGGGTATTCCACTGAAATATCGAAGCTCCTTTGACCTCTTTACGAAAGGCTTGCAGAGGCGGAGCCATGGTGCCTTTCCAGACTTGATAGCACCGGCTTCAGCGCATCCACTAACTGAAGTGCACTCTTTGCAGCCGGACTGTCAATGCTAGTGAGGAGCATACGAATGGTATTCATAAGGGCCTTTACCATGGCTACGATTTCTTTGTCGCGACTATCACCGGATTCTCGTTCCGAAGTGATTGTAGACGAGCGATGCGGTGGCTCAAACGGTGGGTCTATCGTTGGCAGCGCTGTCCATGCTTCAGGCGAGCCGGTGATGCTCTTGTCTTGCTTGGAGGATTTGTTGTCGGCGTGTCTGGACGCTTGAGGTGGTATGCCGGCGGTCGTTTGGTGAGGTTCAATCCTTGCTTCAGCACTGGGTCTCTCAGGGGCCTCCGGCGACGAGACCGCCAGCGTCGTACTTGGGCAGCGGCCTCCCTGTGAGTTGAGCCATCCCGGACCATTTGCCTCAACACTTGCATTTTCTTTTTCATGATTGGGCAATCTTTTGACGATGCTTCGTGAGGGACATGACAGTTTCGACATTTTCGAAGTTCTGCCTGGCAAGCGTCTGCGCTATGTGATTCTGAGCACTACTATTTTTAGTAGGATACGCAAAAGGGAGGCGGGAGGCGCCAATTGTGAAAGCACTACTGCCGCAGTGTATCACCATGGAAAAACGCGTCCCCTGGAAAATATAAGAAGTTTTCGCCCCCTGGCGCAACTGCGAGAGATGCGAGAGAGCCTAGCGGCGCCTCTAGCGGTAGCAGGGAGAAGTAGTGCACGCGCTGCCGACAACGGACAAGGAGTGAGCATAATAAGCTTGAAGAGCAAGCTGTGTTAAGAAAGAGTGTATAACGATCCAGAGTACTTGGTACTGCACTATGCGAGAGCCCAAAGCCGTCCCGGGTGACGAGAATAATGATGCTCTACGAAGCAGAGCACGTTAAGTGTTTAGAAAAAGTGTGTTGTGATTTCGAGTACGTCGTACTAAACTATGAGAAAGCAGTGAGATGTGTGTTTAGAAAAATTGTCGACGGATTTAGAGTACTTCGTACTCTACATGAGTATAAAATGCGTTCCACTCTCACTGTCATGGCTAAAAGTGGCATAGCACTTTCATGGTTTGAGTGTGATTAGAGAGAGGGAGAGAGATGATCTATTTAAATTACCCTATGAGTGGACGGGAGATGGCTGCCACTGTAATACAGTTTGTAAGAGCACTGGGCACAGAGCCGCGGGTTCGGCTCCTGACAGCGGCAAGCTGTCTTTACGTTCACATTACTTTATTTACACCTGTATCACCATTATTGCAATACGTCCGAACAGGGACATTAATGTTTAATGAACCTTCATTGGCGTCACTATATACTGGTTTTTGATACGGTTCTGTCAAAGAAATGAGCCCTCGTTTTCACAGGCCCCTACACCATGCATTTCAGTGGTATCGCGTTCTGGGGACCTTTGACCACACCTGCCCATAGATGAGAAAATAATGTAGAAAAAAAACTACTAAACGACGCTTCAACATACCACCACAAAAAATGGGTAGTAATAATGAAGGAGTTTATACACCTAGGTTAACACAAATTAAAAGATTACAACGTGAATTTCCACTTATTTACCCTTACACGGCGTTTTTCAAAGCGAGCAGCAACGCACAATTAGTGTGACCGTCTTTCAAACCTTACAGTATTTCACAGTTTGCTAAAATGTCCTTATAAACTGCGTAAGATTTTCGGGAAACTATCATGCTTCTCATGCGTCTATGCAGTGCTTGATTCATCGGCGAAGATTCCGATTGGCGTGTTCCAAGGGACGATCCTCGAACTGGGTGCGTTCGACGAGTGCATTGAAACAGTGGTTCACAATGACGACGGAACGGAACGAGTCCGGGCCCAGTACTGCAACCTGTACGTGAAATCGGGAGGCGACTTCTCTCTGATTGACGACCTAATGCCGGCGTTCACCATGTTCCACAAGAGGGTGAGACAATTGATCGTGGCAAGAATTTAATCTCTTTCGCCACCTCTCTAGGGTTAGAGGGGGCGAACGATTGCAAAGCGCCCTGCTTTCTATCAAGTCAATGTAGGAAGTAGAATTTGCGCCCCCTTCCGTTTCTCTCGTGTGACTGAGTATTGGGCACTCTCTTGCCCCCTGCCCTTGCCCCTCTCGTACGCACGCCTATGGCTACAGCTGTGTAGGGGAGAGAGAGAAAGAATACTAAGCGCTTTTTCCTTCCTCCCCCAAAGTACTCAGGTTTGCATGTATACATATAGCTGGAGCTAGTTAATTAGACACCCGTTAATTCGGCAAATTCGATTACTCGGACGCGTTCTCCGGTCACGGCAAGCGTATGAACACTGTTAATAAGCATCGAGCTCTCGTGAATCGGCTCATGTTTGACCGCAACCCGGTTAATTCGGACGATTCTCGGCTGACGTTAAGCGCGAGGCATCGCACATATGCGACCCAAAACATCGATAGCGGCGTTTTCGGATAACTCAACCATGGTGGCGCAGTCTGCATCTCCATCGTCATGAGCGCGAACTATTTGGTACCGACGATAGCGACGTATTGTGTAACAACGTAACTCACTCACGACTCGACTCGCTCAGACTTAGGTCAAGCCATGAGCCTGAATCGGAGTGATTGTGGATGAACAAGATTTTGGTAAGCTTGAGTCCAAGTGAGTTTGTTTGAGGAAACATTTTGGATAAGTGTGAGTCCAAGTGAGTCACAAGGGCGAGGTGCATCTCATGAGTGAGTCGGGGTAAGCTTTACATTGTTTTGACGACCTTTCGACTTATCTACTCAACTAGATATCTATGAAATCGAGTGGATATCTATCAGCCCTTCGTCGGCGCACGTTTACGCTAATCGTGCCTAGTCACACGTCCATGGAGCAGTTTCATCCGCCAGCTCGATAGCAATTGAACAGATGCATGGATTACAAAGGGGGAAGGGGCTTGGCGACCCCCCTCCCATATTGAAGAATCTATTGTGCTAGAAACCTGCCGTGCCACTCATCATTTCAGCTATGATATCCTTAACCCCCGTTTGTTCCCTAATCCACTCTGCTTTCTTCTTGTCTCTTAAGGTTACACCTACCATTTTTCTTTCCATTGCTCGCTGCGTCGTCCTCAATTTAAGCTGAACCCTCTTTGTAAGTCTCCAGGTTTCTGCTCCGTAGCTAAGTACCGGCAAGATACAGCTGTTATATACCTTCCTCTTGAGGGATAGTGGCAAACTACCTGTCATAATTTGAGAGTGCTTGCCGAATGTGCTCCACCCCATTCTTATTCTTCTAGTTACTTCAATCTCGTGGTTCGGCTCTGCGGTTATTACCTGCCCTAAGTAGACATAGTCTTTCACAACTTCAAGTGCACTATTACCTATCTCGAAGCGCTGCTTCTTGCCGAGGTTGTTGTACATTACTTTCGTTTTCTGCAGATTAATTTTAAGACCCACCTTTCTGCTCTCCTTGTCTAACTCCGTAATCATGAGTTGCAATTCGTCTCCCTAGTTACTCAGCAATGCAATGTCATCGGCGAAGCGCAGGTTACTAAGGCATTTTTCATTGACTCTTATCCCTAACTGTTCCCATTCTAGGCTTCTGAAAACCTCCTGTAAGCACGCGGTAAATAGCATTGGGGAAATTGTGTCCCCCTGCCTTACACCCTTCTTGATTGGTATTCTGTTGCTTTCTTTATGAAGCACTATGGTAGCAGTTGATCCCCTGTAGATTTCTTCCAGAATGTTTATATATACTTCATCCACGCCCTGATTCCGCAGTGTTTGCATGACGGCTGATATTTCTACTGAATCAAACGCCTTCTCGTAATCTATGAAGGCTATGTATAGGGGTTGGTTATACTGTGAGCATTTCTCTATTACCTGATTGATAGTATGAATGTGGTCAATTGTTGAGTAGCCTGTTCGAAATCCTGCTTGTTCCTTTGGTTGATTGAATTCTAATGTTTTCTTTACTCTGTTAGCAATTACCTTTGTAAATAGCTTATATACTACAGAGAGCAAGCTGATCGGCCTGTAATTCTTCAAGTCCTTGTCATCTCCTTTCTTATGTATTAAGATGATGTTAGCGTTCTTCCAAGACTCTGGTACTCTTCCCGTCAGGAGACACCTCGTAAACAGGGTGGCTAGTTTTTCTAACACAATCTGTCCTCCATCTTTCAGCAGATCTGATGTTACCTGATCCTCACCAGCAGCCTTGCCCCTTTGCATGCTCTCCAAAGCTTTTCTGACTTATTCTATCATTACCGGTGGGGTGTAATCTGGGTTACTGCTAGTTCTTATAGCATTAAGGTCGTGGTTGTCTCGGCTACTGTACAGATCTCTGTAAAACTGCTCCGCTATTTTAACTACCCTATCCATATTGGTAGTTATTTTGCCTTCTTTGCCCCTTAGTGCATACATCCGACTTTTGCCTATCCCAAGTTTCCTCTTCAATGCTTTGACACTTCCTCCGTTTTTCAGAGCGTGTTCAATTCTCTCCATGTTATACCTTCTTACATCGCATACTTTACGTCTATTAATCAACTTCGAAAGCTCTGCCAGTTCTATTTTGTCTGTTGTACTTGACACTTTCATGATTTGACGTTCTTCGTTTCCTGGGAAAGCTTGCCAGTGTCCTGTCTAACTACCCTGCCTCCACCTTCCACTGCACACTCCGTAATGATACTCGTCAGATTATCATTCATTGTATCTACGCTAAGGTTGGTTTCCTCACTAAGAGCCGAGTACCTGTTCTGCAGCGACACTCTGAATTCCTGTACTTTCCCTCTCAGTGCTAGCTGATTTATTGGCTTCTTGCGTATCAGTTTCTGCCGTTCCTTCTTCAAGTCTAGGCGAATTCGAGACCGTACCATTCTATGGTCACTGCATCGTACCTTGCCAATCACTTCCACATCTTGCACGATTCCAGGGTGTGCACTCATTATAAAGTCTATTTCGTTCTTATTTTCGCCATTAGGGCTCCTCCATGTCCACTTGCGGTTTTCTCGTTTTCGGTAGAAGTTATTCAAAATCCGTAAATTATTGCGTTCTGCGAATTCTACTAGTAGCTCTCCTCTGGCGTTTCTAGTACCGATGCCATAATCTCCTACTGCCTGGTCTCCAGCCTGCTTCTTCCCTACCTTTGCATTAAAGTCGCCCATCACTATAGTATACTGTGTTTTTACCTTACTCATTGCCGATTCCACGTCTTCATAGAAGCTTTCAACTGAAGCGTCATCTTGGCTGGATGTAGGCGCGTAAGCCTGTACTACCTTCATCTTGTATCTTTTATTCAGTTTAATTACGATACCTACCACCCTTTCATTAATGCTATAGTATTCCTCTATGTGGCCAGCTATGTTTCTGTGAATTAGGAACCCCACTCCAAGTTCTCTTCTGTCTGCCAAGCCCCTGTAGCAAAGGACGTGCCCATTCTGTAGCACCGTATAGGCCTCATCTGTCCTCCTAACCTCACTGAGCCCTATTATATCCCATTTAACACCCTCTAGCTCCTCGAATAGTACAGCTAGACTTCCCTCACTAGATAAGGTTCTAGCATTAAACGTTGCCAAGTTCAGGTTCCAATGGCGGCCTGTCCGGATCCAGAGATTCTTAGCACCCTCTGCTGCGTTGCAGATCTGACCGCCGCCGTGGTCAGTTGCTTCGCAGCTGTTGCGGACTGAGGGCCGTGAGTTATTTGACGTAAGCATGTGGGAGGTAGTGGCCAGATACTGCACCAGGGTGGCCAATCCTCTGGTGAGGGAGTGCGTTTTCGGCGGTGTTTGCTGGTGAGGCCGCACCCCAGGCCTCTTAATGCAGTTCCATCAACACGCGGATTTTTTTTACACTCATTCTTACTCAGACTCAAATAGAGCCGTGATTTGGAGTCCGAGTTAGACCAAGTAAGTAACGTTTGAGTTAGTTTGAGCCCAAGTTAGACCTATTAGACAACCTTTATTGAGCCTGAGTCCAAGTGAGTACGGTTGAGGAAAATATTGGTGTGTGTGAGTCCGAGTGAGCTGTAAGGCGAGGTATGTGTCCGTGAGTTAGCTTGAGTGAGCTCTAAAGTTTTTGCCGACTTAAGTTGTTGATTCCAATGTAACTTTGTTTATATTTGCTGTTGGCCAAATCACCAACCGTGGTTGAGTAATATTGATAACATTGACAAATTATTTGCATTAAATGAGCAATGAGCAAATTGGATTTAAAAAATATCTTTGGTAAAGAACGCCGATAGATAGAAACTTACCTTGTAAGTCTTCAAATGTCAGCACGTGCTTACAACTAAAATTTCGTGAAGTCATTACACGTTTTTTTTACCGTAGAGGGGACAGTATACAGCAGCAAATCCTAACTTTTTCATTCAATTACAATATGTGTGCTTAACTCACATCGCTCATTTCTCCTAACCCAGGTCTCAAACTTCACGGGCTACCTGGCGGACGAACGACTCCCCGGCTTTCGTCTCGGTATATGCGTCATCAACGACTGTGCAGAGCGCGACCTTCAAGAGCTTCTGAATACTTGCAAGTATTATCTTCGCTTTGGAATTTATTTTGTCTGGAAAAAAATGAAAAAAAGTGATATGGTGGCATCACAACACATACGAGAGAAACAGAAAACAAGAAATCGTTCGAATTCACACGCTAGGCAGGCTTCACGACGCACATGTAATGCACAGCATAGGGAAAGAGATTGATTGATCGATATGTGCTGTCTAACGTCCCAAAACCACCGTGTGAATATGAGAGACGAAGTAGTGGAGGGCTACGGAAATATCGACCACCTGGTGTTTTTTAACGTGCATCCAAATCTGAGCAAATGGGCCTACAGCATTTTCGTCTCCATTGAAGGAAAAGAGAGAGAAACACTTTCATTTGACCCGTCCGAGAGTAGGGTCATATGGCAAGACCTTCTATTTCCCCACCTGTAGACATCGGCCGGAAGCAGTCGGTTTTCGGCGGCGTCCCGGGTATGACGGATGACTTATTTTTGGCCCTGTTCTTCCAGGCTGAGAGGGGATGATTTTCATGACGATTCCCATTAAAAAGAGGAAAGAAACAATCTGACAAAAGCTACAGACGCGTTGAATTCCGCATAACCTAAGCAAATGACATCTTGAGGTACACAGTTCTGATTTTAAAATCTTTGAGGGTGCAGTGACTTTCGATCACATGTAATACCCTAAAAAGTTGCTATACTCGCAGACAACGTTTCTTGTCAATGCAGTGAAGGCTACAGAGCTAGAACGCGCGTAGCCTACCGCTTGTGAATGCTGTCTTGCAATTTGGTCTATATTTGCAATGTGAAATGTGAAAAAATACTGCCTTCAAATTTTGCATATGGTGCTTTGACACAGGACGCATCTCACACCACTGAGATACTCGTATTTGTTATAACTCATTCGTTGTCACTTCGCGCTTTTGAGTACGTTAAAAAGCCGTGCCCTTTACGTGTACTTCGAATACAAAAAAAAGCCGTCTGCGCCGATATGAAACGCTCGTCGTGCACAGCCGTCATTTGCCACAGTGGTACGGAACATACCGGACTGCTTCGCGTGACATAACGGAGTATACTTTGCTTAGTGGTACATGTGCAGAACATCCGCCTTTTTGACTTTCTCTTCAATGCCGAGAAAAGCTGTCCACGAGTGTGGCTCGCTGCTGAATTTGTTGAAAAAAAACACGTTTTTGTATATTCGTTTAAAGCCACTAGAAAGTCAAATCTACCTACCTTCCGGTTGCTGTTCTTTTCAAGCGATGTGCTGACCTTCCTCTGACGTTCCAAGCCTTCTGCACTTCACCTGGCTTTCCATTGCCTCCATGATCGGCCCATCCTTTATCAAGTAAAAAAGTCATGCGTTGACTATAGGGCCTCGAAAAATGCAATGCTCTCGGAATGAAAGAACACAGCACACACGGTCGACTAAACCCGATACGTAAACACTTATTCACTTGCTTTTACATTGACGATACCGTCAGCCAAAAGAAGTATTTCTGTAGTCGGTACAACCTAAGAATGAATACACGCTCTGCCCCCAGTCCTACAGCATGCCTGTAATTCATCGGCGCAACAGAGCGATGATTGAAGATTTCTGTTCTAATCGTGAGCACAACTTAACTGGTAGTGCAAACACTACGCATGTTTTGAACTAAAAGCTCATCGTTCGTTGTTAAACTGTAACGTTTTGCAGAGAAGTGAAATCGGAATTTTTGATGATGTTTGCCAAGCAGTAAAACTTTTTTTTGTCAAAAACCAGTGAAGTGCACGCGAGCCTGTACAGACTAGTCGTATGCCTAACATCCGTCCGACGTGCGTTACGTGCCTTACGTACACGATTGGTGATTCAGGTTTCGATGGAATATTAGTCCATCGTAGTCATTATGTTTTCGGGTCGGCGTCCGTGTCTGTTTGAGGCCCGCGGGACGGCTTTATGCTCTCCCATTGTAGAGTACCTAGTACTCTAAATCGTTACTCCCTATTTCTAAACACGCGGTTTCGATACTACGCGAGACGTCAGGGGTCCCGGCCAAGGCGCCATCAATTTTCACGCCACCGACAGTAATTAGTTCAAGATCTTAAGCTCACAGATGGGTGGGTTAACTCTACATGGAGTCGGGTTCGTCGCAACCCATGCTTGTGGCATTCACCAAAGCCTAACTGATAGAGTTTATGTGCCCGAAGACTTTTTAGCGAATCTACAAGCATGTGAGGTGGTCCAGCTTGCGCCAAGCCAGCAGGAACGCAGCGATCACGCTCCGTTACTCTTCACGTTTAACGTGAGCACAAGAACGAGAATCCACAAACCATGGAGGATGGACCCAGCTATTCTTCATGAGGACGAAAGCATATCCGTACTTCAAGCTGAGCTGGCGGCCTCACTGGCAGAAGTGGGTTGCATAACTCCGACTACATGGGACCACTTAAAATCTCGCTGGCGCCTCGTAGCTCAACAGGCAGGAAAAGCGCGCCACGCTCGCCTCACGGCCAAGATGAATGAGATTCTCCGATGCATTCAAATTATTGAAAGAGGTGGGTCAACTGCGTTCGCTATGCTCGAATACCTTGAAGCACAAAAAATTAAATATCAAAATCTTCTGAAGCAGAGGTCTCAAGCTACAAGGCTCGCAAAAGAAATGCACTTATCGACAGATGAAATGGAAAACTCGGCATACGTGCAAAAAAAAAAACGAGATCGTCGATGCCAGCCCCGCTACATCGATGAGGCGCAGAAAGAGGATGGTACCATTGTTAATGACTTGGACGAAGTTCAAAAAGTTTTCCGAGACTACTTTGCAAACCTTTTTACTGCAGACCATGACGCACAGGACGACCAGTTTACTGCTAAACTCTCAGCCTTTTGCGAAGTTTTTCCATCACTATGCTCGGAAGACGGTTTAGTATTATATGCAGAAACTGATGAAGAAGAAGTATGGTACGCCCTAAAATCAATGAATACGTATACGTCCCCAGGCCCAGATGGAATACTTACCGGAGTTTATCTGCTTTTCTTTGATATCTTGGAAGATGCGATCACCGATCTCGTGAATATTTTGTTGCGTGATGGCCAAAAACCGCAGTCCTTCTGCGAAGGAAGGGTGATTCTATCGCTGAAAGAGGGTATGAAGCCGTCAGATCATAAATCGGGGAGGCCCATTACCCTTTTAAACACAGACTATAAGTTAGTAGCCACAATGGTATCACGGCGTCTGCGGCCTTTTTTGGAAGAGATTGTGTCCCCCTTGCAGTCAGGAGCAGTACCAGGACGTTCTGTCTTTGTACCTCTTACAATCATCAGAGACCTCTTCGCATATGCCAAAGAAAAACAGATCTCAGGAGTATATATTTCTCTTGATCAGGTCAAAGCATTTGATAGAGTAGAACATGGGTATCTTTCCCCTTTTTTGCGCATCTTTGACTTCCCAGAGCAGTATGTGTGACTGGTAGAAATACTTTATCAGGGTCTATCAAGCAGTCTTTATTTCAACAATGACGTGACCAGAAGCTTTGCACCTCAAAAAGGGGTGAGGCAAGGCTGTCCGTTGTCTCCGGCATTATTCATTTTGTCTCTATATCCTTTGATTAGAAAGGTTGCAAACTGCAAGCGCATTGTGGGTTTCCCGATGCCAGGCGAGAAAACCTTCAAAATTGTCGCATACGCCGATGATATTTCGGTATTTTTTCCGTAATTTGTCTAGCTATAGTACATTCCTTGACATTTTTTCTGAGTATGCATATCTGTCCGGTGCTCTTTTAAACACTACCAAATGTAAGGCATTGCGCTTTGGAGGCTTCAGAGAACTATTACCAGGAGACTTAGAATACGTTCAAGCTGTTGAGGTGTTAGGCGTTAACTTTGAGGAAGGTGATGTCTCAAAGAAGACCTGGGATGACGTGCTTAGGAGATCTACCGATGTCATAGCAGCAGCCACTCATTTTAATCTGTCACTAACGGCAAAAGCAACAGTCATCAAGACACAGGCATGCGCTTTTGCGTTTTACATAGCACACATCACCCTTCTACCTCGCCGTGTTACAGGACCCCTCGCCTCTATGGCGGGGACCTTCCTTTGAGAAGGAAAACCAGCAAAGGTACAGAGGAAATTTTCACAGCTTCCCACCAACCGTGGAGGCTTGAGCCTCCCAGACATACCAACTTTCACGAGAGCTCTGGCTGCAAAAACAACACAGAAGCTCTTCGATTACAGCAACTACCCCGGGTACAGGCTCATTATGTACTGGTGCAGTACACTAAAAGGTACTTTCACGGCCAATCCGTGCGTCGGACCACGAGCAGAAATTCCACTTGAGTTTTACTGAGTTGTCACTGGCTTAAACCGAACAGTGGAATCAATAGGTTCATGCAGTCTCGAAGATGTTTCATCGCAAGAAATAGGTGAAATGGTGACAAGTAGCACACTGAGCAAAGAGAAAGAAACAGCATCCTGCACGAAAACATGAAAACCATGGCATTGCAATCGCGTACCTAACCAGGTGCGCGAATCTGACTGGTTAAGAATAGGAGTAGGTGGTCGGATGTATCGCTGTATACGTAGTTATTTGTCAATGTGATCCTTCTTTGTGAGCACTGAAGACGGTCCAACCTCTCCACATTACAGCCACCGTGGCGTCCCCCAGGATGGCGTACTCAGCCCTGTGCTGTTCAATCTTACGTTAATTGCTCTCACTGAGCATCTGCCAAGCACGGTCAGGCTATCAATGTACGCAGATGACATCTGCATTTGGGCATCGGCTGTAACACGCCTGCAGTTACGAGGAAGAATTCAAAAAGCTGCCACTGAAACATTACACTACCTCCGAAATCGAGGCTTGGAAATTTCTTCCGAGAAATGTGCCCTCGTAGCTTTTACACGAAAGCCTATGGATAAGTACACTATAAGCATCAATGGTCAAACTGTGCCATACGTTCGATCGCACAAGTTTTTGGGCGTCATAATTGACAGGAATCTATCATGGAGCGATCATGTTTAGTACATGAAGAAACGGTTAATGGACATCTGTAATATACTGAAGTTCTTTGCAGGGAAGACTTGGCGAATGTCTCCCAGTGCAATGCTACAGCTGTACAGAATACTTTTTCTCGGTTTCCTGCGGTATAGTTTACCGGCATTGACCAATGCAAGCAAAACAAGCCTTCGAACGCTGCAGAGTGTTCAGTCCCAGGCACTCCGGATTTGCCTCGGCTTGCCTCGTAGTGCGTCAACAATGGCTACTATAGCTATCGCCGGTGACCTCCTCATCACGACACATATCGACGTTGAGGCACTCCGGACACATATAAGGCATATTGCTCGGACACCCTGCCACCACCTAGCCTCTTTACCAGCAGACAGACCACGTTCGTCATTTTGCCAAACGGTCACCACATACCGCGATTCTTTGCCAACATGCTTCACAACCGCCGCCAGGCCTTTGACTCCTCCCTGGTTCCTGACTCAGGCTAATATCAGGCTAACTATACCTGGCATCAAGAAAAAAGCAGATATGTCGTCACCTGCTCTTAGAAAGCTTGCTCTGCTCTTGTTATACGAGACGTATCAAGGCTGTATACACGTACACACCGACGGCTCTGTTTTACAGAAGAGTTCAACGGCATCATTTGTTATACCGATAATAGACACGACAAGAAAATTCAAGACCTCCCACCTTACGACATCAACGGGAGCAGAGCTCACAGCTCTTCATGCCGCGTTGCAATTTATCAGCGATCAACAGCCACAAAAATGGACAATTTTCAGTGACTCAAAGGCGGCACTGCAATCCCTTCTATCCCCTTTACGCCACGGCCCGTACGAACAGCTGGTATTTGAGATTGCAGAAAAGACTCACCAATTCATTGAGGAAGGACATGAAATAGCATTTCAATGGCTGCCAAGTCATTGTGGAATAATTGGCAATGAACGCGCCGATCGAGCTGCCCATTCTGCCCATACTGAAAGCGATAAAATATCAATGCCGCTTTCCAGAACTGACGCTGCACGGAAACTCCGCATGCTTGCTCGCAAGCACACCACGTCACAATGGAACGAGTCATATTTCTTCCATGCACGGTTAGGTACTTTAGACCCAACTCTCAGTCTTCGAATTCCTCCGGAATAACGCCGACGAGACGCTACTATGCTGTGCAGATTATGGTTGGGCGTCGCATTTACCAATGCGTACGCGTTCCGCATAGGAATGGCTGACACTGCTGCATGCGACCATTGTGGCAGTGATTAAACAACTTGGCACATTCTGTGTGAATGCCTACAATGCTGCTCGCAGAGACAGTCACTCTGCAATGCACTAGATGAACTGGACAACCAGCCTCTTTCGGAAGAAAGAATCCTGCGCTACCGACAAGACTTTCTGTCGCAGAAGAAGGCTGTGAAGGCGCTCGTGCGCTTCTTGCGTTCAACCGGTTTGTCCAAACGACTGTGCTTGGAACTCCCTGAATGTGTGTGCATGTGTTTTTTTCTATTTATTTTATATCTCTCTATAGCTACCCTCTTTCCGACCCTTTTCCCTACCCCCGTACAGGGTAGCAAACCAGTTAGTCTTGGTTAACCTCCCTGTCTCTTCTTTTTAATTATTTCTCTCTCTCTTGACTGGTTGAGAAAATGGAGGGCATTGCCTACGCGTGACCGGTTAGCACATTGGAGAGTCGTTCCAAATGACCGCTGCCCAAACTACGGCAAAAGGAAGACGGCCCAACATGCTTTGTACAACGCCTCTTTGGCTTTCGCACGGCGCGCATGGGAACAGAACGTGCGCTGTTTGCAGGACTGGTCTTTACAGTAACCTTGTACGTATTGTGGCGGCGACACTGTTTAGCGGAAGCACGGCACAAGCCGCATAGAGGCGCCTATCCCGCACTACAGAAAATACGGCTCATTGTGTGGAATTACCTATATCAGCAGCTGGAAACGCACGGTGGCGTGGCCTTCCTTCGACAATGGCACACACGTTTCTTCAAAGTAAGAGAGGGACAGCTGAGATTTCCAGTTGTCCCGTACTAGCCATGCGCCCACTCTAGTACGCATGCATAAGTGTTATCCTGTAAATGTGATTACCTTGATTCATTTTAATTTTCATTCGACTAGTAACATTTGGATATCCCGTTATCAATTAGATTTTGGTGCTGATTTGTAAGATGTATACACTGTATTTACTTGTTTTCGATGTTTCGTTTGTGTACGTACAAGTTAAGCGCACAATAAACTTCCATTTATCTCTCAGGGTTTGTCGCCGTACCCTCGTCAGGTGTGCCCACGAGACGGCTTTTTGCTCTTCCATAGAGTACCTCGTACTCTAAATTGTTAACAACTTTTTGTAATCAAGTACGTGACGCTTTCCCCACACTCTGTAAGTTGCGGGACAGGGACAACTTTTTGCCTTCCCATAGAGAGTACCAAGTACTCTAAATTGTTAAATACTTTTTTTCTAAACACACATATGCAGATTCTCCCGGCTGGGACGGTGAGTGCTGTGGGCCGAGCTTACATTTATTCTTAGGCTGTAACCAACTATAGTGACACGCTACACAAATTTATCCAGTATTCCAATGTAACACTCAAGCAAACTCAAGGTACCGCAAATGCAGCGTTTCTGACTCACCACGAGTGATTCACGGGAAACGACCCACGGTTGCCATCCATGTGGAACCACTACAGACGAGCATCTGTGCTCCGTCCGATGTTCTACCACAACGCCCAGTGCTTCGACCTTACCTCGTTCTCTTCTTTTATTTGTTTGGGGGGGGGGAGTGTGTGTTTGGTTGAAGGTTGGGATAATGTAGGGGAGCACCCACTGTTAGGTCGTTTGCACTTGATGGCGCACATGCGTCTCGCGGATTAAACAGCCGCCGAGCGGGCGGTAATGCTGGTTAGGTTTCGCGGTGGCACCAGCAACGACGGTGGAAGATGGTGTAAGACATTACACCATCTCCTGCTGAACGGAGCAATGTGTGGATGCGAAGCAGCAGGGAGGGGGTGAAAGCACCCCCTGAAACTCCTCTTCGCTGTCTTAAGCAGATTCACCAACATTGAGAACCTCTACCTGACTAACGCTGCCGCCCCGCCGTGGTGGTTTAGTAGCTAAGGTACTCTGCTGCTGACATGCAGGTCGCAGGATCAAATACCGGCTGCGGCGGCTGCATTTCTGATGGAGGCGGAAATGTTGTAGGCCCATGTGCTCAGATTAGGGTGCACGTTAAAGAGTCCTCCAAAATCCCACATATCAGTCATCGATGACCAACACTACCGTTGACCATTGCTTGATGCCGGTGACCACAGCCATGCACGCTGCCACTCACCAACGCAGCCGGTTACCATGACTATGGCACTGCCGAACAGCCTGTCCCTCAATGCACACGCCAGAGAAACCGAACGTGATAACGTGCTATCCAAAGCGATTACGCGCTATTTCACAGACACGTGGAATGTCGCAAGACCGACGATCAACGGCTACAAAAAAAAAAAAAACAGGTGTACTCTGCCTCACGGAAACGTGAAACACCGAGAGATCGATGATCAACGGCTACGAAGTGATCGCGTGAACTGAGGAAGCACTTCGTTTCCTCCTCTACCGGCTCGAAAGAGTAGGGAAGTGTAGGAAAGATGAAGAGAGGACGCACATGCACAGTGTGGAGTCGACGCCGCGGGAGGGAGTGAGGGATGGACACAGCCCCTGCCAAAAGCTGCCTCACATCTAAAGGGACCATGAGCTGCTTCGCACCTTGGCGTTTGGCGGTTGGCGTGGCCGAACGCTTCCTTCGGTGGGTCCACAGAGAACGGCCACCGCGGGTCGTTTCTCGTGGATCCCGCATGGGAATCGAAAGTCGGTGCGTTCTAATTGACATTGCCTTGTTATTTTGCTTGATTATTTTATCGAAATATTCTATAAGGTCGTTTAGCATGTGACTTGTGACATATTTCATTTGGCTGGTGATATCGGCGATATAAAAGCAAGTGAATGTACACGTGTTTGGTTTGCTCGACTGAGCCTGCTCTGTCCGTTCGTTTCTAGAGCGCGATATTTCTCGAGACGCCACAAGTTTATTGTGTGAGATCACAAATATAATCGTAATATTCGACGTCATGATGACATCATATGGTGGTGTCATCAAGTGACGTTTTTTATTCGCATCGCTAATATTTCCGCCAACACCGCTGGTCAATTTTCACTTGAGAATTTATACCTTTTGCCTTAAAATTCATCTTCATTTTGAGCGTCTTCCCGATTCAACATTCCCGAAAGCAGAAAAACTGTGTTAGCTCCGCGTTCGCTACGAAAACTGTTCAGCCACGCCACATAATAAGCTCGCATTTCAAATGTCAGGTGCTAGTGCGTTACCTATATATAAGTTTCTTGTCTTTCTTTTTTCTTTTGCAGTTGTAGGAGGGGTAGCCAAGGTGACGATAAGAAATTGCGTCACCAACCAACCCGAGGACATTAACACTACGCAAATCTGGATACTGTGAGTATACTGCTAGCTTTTGCACAAATAGACTGCAGATTTTAAGTAAAGACATCTGGTATAGGAGGACATAAATAGAAATGGGTAATACAGGGAACTTAACCAGAAAGAATGCCGGTTGGCTACCTTACACTTGGTGACTATAGGAAGAAGAATAACATACTCACGCACTCAAGGCGAAGGTTTGTGTCTGCCAGACAATAAGGATAAACAGTTGCCTGTTCCAGAAAGAGCAATGTTGTTCCCCCATTGCTTGTTTTTTATCTGTCAGTAGTGTTATAGACCTGTCGGCGTATACCATTGCGCTCGACTAGGAGAGGTCACGTGAAAAAACTCGGGAGATTCTCTCTTGCGCTTCACTTTTATGACCCCCATCTTTCACTCTGGCAACTGTATTGAGCCGGTGTCTAATCTGTTATGCACTACTGCTATAAATACGTTCCTTCTCTACCTCTCTATGCACTTGGAGGTTTTCCACAGCCGCTTACACTCCAATTGTCATTTACGTTTATGTCGAGTATGTTGCTCTTGTCTTACTGCTGTTTGTATACTGCTGACCATGCCTGCATAAAGTTAATGACCCTCACGGCTATTTTAAAGGACGATGTTAGTTATGATAGTCACTGCATTTAGCATGAAACAAATCGTACAAGGTTGAGGGGTGTTGTACCCTTTACAGTCACTTCAAAAGAAAATTTTAAAGTGTTTCTTTTTTTTCCTTACATAATCTGCTGCAATTTAGGAGCGAAGCGACTCAGGGTCTCGGCCTGCCGGCGTCTAATGTAGACGCAGGGTGTCATGTTCTCAGCTTGTCGGCGCCTAATGTAGACGGGCTGCGTCATGTTTTCAGCTTGTCGGCGCCTAAAGTAGACGAGGTGCGTCATGTTCTCAGTTTGTCGGCGTCTAATGTAGACGAGGTGCGTCATGTTCTCAGTTTGTTGGCGTCTAATGTAGACGCGGTATGTCATGTTGTCATAATCCATCATGAAAGGATATGCGCATTCTGATGCAGTCTACAGACGACGTTAATGGGGTGGAAACACCATACCTACACGCTTCGAACTTTCCCACTATTTTGCTCATCGTGCTCCTATATGTCACACTTCTCTTAGCTGAAGCATCGCAACACAACCAACGCTTATTCCACTAAGTTTTTTCACAGTGGTCTAGTGCTGTCTAGTTAGCCGAATGAATTCTCCGCTGCTCGCTTTCACAATTTATTCAGAGGGCTTCGCGGTGGTTGTGTAATGTTGCGAGATAAATTGTCTGAAAACTGACAGTATGCGAATTCATGTCAACATTTCTAGAGCTGTGTTGGCGACTATTGCTGCCGCAGTCATAGCGGGCACAGCCTTTGACGTCTTCGTTCCCAGCAAGATACGAGAACGATGCGGTGAGTCATTTCTAATACGTTGTTTCTGTTGACGAATTCTAAATTTCTGTACCTCTGTTATTCATTTTGTCACCTCCCCATAATACGTTTTTTTTTTTTGGGGGGGGGGGAGTGGCTAATGTCTCCAATAAATAATATGTTCTCAGTAGAACACACATGCTTAGGATTTGTTCTACTTTCAGTACTATTGGCAGTGTATGAAATCATGAGCAAAGGTATCAATTCATTATATTATTATTATTATTATTATTATTATTATTATTATTATTATTATTATTATTATTATTATTATTCCTTTCATATCATAAAAAACGGTAAATAGGACAGCCAAATGGAGGCTGGAGCGGCAGAGCCTGGCAGGCAGAAAACTAAACCGAAAGCGTTACATGACTGTAGTTATTGCACAATAGAGAATACAGGAGAAAATAACACCCTCATTATATCAGAAGTACAGGCCATATAAACTGTTACCATTCCCATTATATATACAGCAGCTAGAAAAATTGGAAGCAAAGTACCACGCTAAATTTTCGCTAAGAAGTATGCTTGCAAATGGGTGCATATAAAAAAACACCTGATGCAATTTACACATGTAGACAAATACGCTGTAGCAGTTTCTTTATTCTCAATGTTGTTTTTACGCAAAAAATGCTGGTGGACAGCATATTGAAATAATTTGGAACACAATGTGCTCGTGTCTTAGTTCCATCCTAACTGCGGCGCCTGACGATGGTACTTTTTCTATTATTTTATTTTACTGCACTTTCTAATGCCTCTATTTCACAAAATTCCTGTCTCTTATCTAATTTTTTCTCATTCTCATAAAATGAACCTTTTGGCGCAAGCCCTTTTCATTTTATTTTGATTGATTTGAGCCTGTTTTATTTTGGTAGTGCAGGCTGAGGCAAGTATTTTTAGTTTTGTTTTCTTCAAACTAATTCCTGTCTGTGCTAAAACGTTGCCATCATTGTGCACTGAATGAGAGCATAATTTTAAAGTGACACCTAAGAGGCACATTGATTTAGTTTAAATTTGCAAACTGCTATTTGAGAGCTATGATGCCTTATGTTGCACTATCATATGTTCACTATTAGCTGAAAAAAATCATGGTATAAGTTTCATTTTTAAATTTTGTGCCATTTCTTACATTTCTTAGCAAACTTCGGTGACTTTGAGTGTATCTATCGATCTACCTATTCAGCCACTTATGTTTAAGTGCTCACGTGGTCACCCCCTTAACTTGGCGTGAAGCAAAATTAGCATGGGAAGGTAAGACTTTTTGACGAATACGACGCACTTGTCCAGATATGTATAATGTCACAATCCCGTCACGTACGTCATCAAACACTTCCCGCCAGACAGTGGCCCATACACACGGGCGGGCATGTGCCGCTGGTGTGCTGGTATGTGCCACAGGTGATTAGCACTTAGTGTCTACCCAGGAACGACGAAAACACACATGGGCAATTTTAATACACGAACGTTAACAAATATACTACATCAGTAGCGTCGACCAGACTAATGCAAAGAATAAATATCAGGGTCCCAGCTGGAATCGAACCCAAGCATTCTCCGTTGCAATGAAACATTTTACGACAGAGCCAGGCCAGGACTCAAAACAACTTTTGAAATAGACGCTATAGGCTTTGTGAAATGTCAACAGTGGTTGCAGTGCTACCTACCCAACTTTATAAACATTACATATGTACTCCTTTGATACAGCCGTCACGTCGGATTAGCGTAAATGGTGGTTAGTTACCATGCACTGAAGTTCATTTATGTAGATGGGTCCAGTGTCAGCATCCTCTCGAGAATCAGCGCTTCACATCAGCTTCTGGTGTTTCTAACACGCATGTTCCAGTTGGCATCGTTGCGCAAGTGCAATTAACTGGTCATATAAGCATCTGCAACCCTTCAACATATGTCTGCATGCAACATTTGTACATATATTCAGCGTCATTTCATGATGTGTCGGTCATGAAAAAAAAATGCTACACGGTCACCTTCCCTCCGCATGTTTCGCATAACATCAATTCTCAGGTACGTGGGATCTGCCGAATTTTTTTTCAAATTTATAATATTACAATTCGTGCAGGTAGTATTGATCTATCCCATTGCATTTAGTGTGGCCCCTCCTGATATCAGTTTCTGCTGATGCGCATTTTACACTTTAAAATGCCTCTACATGCAGGTTTGATTGCGATTTTTTTTCTGAATATAACATCTAATTGCAAATTTTCTAATATGCATTTATTTATTTGTTTATTTATTTTGTAACACTCAATCACTGAAGCATTACAGACGGCAGCAGGTTACAACATATAAAAATTCAAAACAAAGAAACAAAATGCACGACAGTGCACAAGCAACAAAACCTAAACAAATAAAAATCTCTACTCGAAGAAACACAACAAAAGTGAAACACGAAGAAACGAATAAACAAAAGAAAAACGGCAAAATTTTCTAGTACTAATGGCTAACTTTGAAAGTAGCAAAAACGCTGCAAAAAGCAAGAAAAAAACTGAAAGAAAGGTATAAAACACTGGAATTTTGACACATGTCGAAAGAAAGTTGTAGGAAAAGAGGATACATCAGGTGAATAGGGAGAGCTATCTCGAAGCAGGGGATCCGATAATGAATGACAGAAAAGGGAGTGATCAGAGATGCAAAGGATGTTACCCGGTAGCTGTTTGCAATCGTTAGATGTAACCAGTAACCAAACAATTAACACTCAAACTAGTGTGTGATGCATTAGCTTAGCAAGATGGGGACTGTAGATTTCACATTTGACTGTAAATGTGCACGCTCTAATGTACAGTCATAAACGCATACGCACGCACTCATACACACAGCCTATCATGCAAATAAACTACAGGTGGCACCTCCGTTGTGATGCTAATGATGTTATTTTCGTTTAAATTTCTATTTTTCTTTCAGACTGTTTGGTGAAATGTGTGACGGCATTCTCGATGGTCAAGAACACGAAGTACATTTTCGGGCTCAACGGGGGCAAGACGTCGGACGCGTATAATACATATGGCTTTGTGAACGGGCTTCGATTCTTCAGTATGTTCTGGATCATCTTGGGCCACACGTACGGATATGGACTTGAAAGTTCGTGTAAGTGTTCCACACGAAGTGCGCTTGTTTCCTTTGCAATTCTCGCTATATAATTGTGTTTACCGCGTTTAATACAACACGGAGAGAACCGTAAACGACTCTCAGTATCATCGATCGTATACGACTTGAGCTACTTATCAAACTTCTCTGAAAAAAGATCTTCTCGAACGGTAGAATCGCTAGGGTTTCTTAGAGCGGCAGCATGTGTCCTCTTTATTTCCTCTCCCTCTGCACTGAAACCAGCGCGTGCGCGAAAATTATCGCTTCGTCCTGTAGCCCACCCAGTGGTTTCTCTGTTGGCTGGGATGTCTCGCGCTGCGCACGCCGCACACTTCACTCACTCACTTACTCACTCAGTCTCGCTCTAACCGGGCCCCGCCGTGGTGATCTAGTGGCTAAGGTACTCGGCTACTGACCCGTAGGTCACGGAATCAAATTTCGGCTGCGGCGGCTGCGTTTCCGATGGAGGCGGAAATGTTGTAGGCTTGTGTACTCGGATTTCGGTGCACGTTAAAGAACTCCAGGTGGTCTAAATTTCCGGAGCCCTCCACTATGGCGTCTCTCATATTATTATGCTAGTTTTGGGACGGTCAACCGCACAAATCAATCAATCAATCGCTCTAACCCAGCGCAGCAGACTCCCGGCCCTCCCACCCCCCGTTGTATACCACCGTCGTGAAAGCCGGCAGCGATATCAGGCACATACTCGTTCACGTCCCATTTCTGAGGAACTTCACTCATCGGTTGTATTCCTACACGAAACAAATTCTATTTTGTTTGTTTTACAGCGAAAGCTGTTATGAGATCACAACTCGGGTCACGCGCAGTTGTCCGCTGCCGCCACCAGTGTTCGTAACCACATAGCGCGAAATTAGAAAAAAAAAACAACTAGCACCAAGGACCCAGTGGGGCTCGAAACCTGCGTCTGTTGGGTGCCGGCCTAGTATTCTACCACTGAGCTTGTTGGCAAACCTAGCAACAAAGACACCATGTGGCTCAAACCCGGGTTCACTGAGTGCCAGCCCAGTATTCTACCACTGAGCTACGCTGGTGGTGGCCACTTTTTCGCAAACTTGCCTTACCGGGCGGACTTGATGTCGGGAAAGCAATCGCGTTAATACGACTTGTCAAGCGTTTTAAAACAGCAAAAGAACAACCAATCGTCGCACAATGCGAATAGCGTAACGAGTGGGCCGTTGTTGTTGTTGTTGTTGTTCTCCTATTGTTAGTGGCGCATACCCACAGTGGGAGATTGACCAAGAATCGAGTGGCTTTAAAATTTACTGTTCAGATTTAGAATGATGGAGGTATAACAGAAAGATTACCGATAGCCTATAGGCAAGTGTGGTGCTTAATGTAATGCATACAAATATTTACATAAACAAATTTATTCTTAGAATAGAGAAATAATCTGATTTTATACGTATATAATTATGTGGACATGTTAAGATAATGAAACTGGTTAATTAGTCAACCTATTAGTTTCATCAATATAGTCCCAGACGGCCGCGCATACTGTGCCATTACAGAAACCAGAAATGGAAGCTCCAAAAGACAAAATGACAGGCAGAGATAAGTCCATACCAATACCACATAAAGGTATTTCTAATAGGGTTTTTCGTAATGTGTTAAACCGCCTGCAGGTCAAAAAGAAATGGTCTATTGTTTCCAGTTCATCACAGAATGTGCACAGTGGGGAAGGTGCCTCAGCAGACCTGTGTTTATAGAAATTTAGATTTGGTACCCGGCAACGCAGTCTTGTGATAGCTACTTGCTCCAAACCATCACAAAAAAACTTGTTCTTGTTCCCCTAATAACTGTGGTGCATGCCCACTTCAGCCATAATTCTTCGTCGTCATCAGCCACTGCATGAACAATTGGCACGGAAGTCCTTGCAAATGTTCAGCGGATACTGCGCTTCTCAGGTGAATGACGAAAAAAAAGCATAGCGAATGCCGGCTCACAACCCACAAGTTTATTAATAATGCCCTAGTGAGTTTCAATCTAGTGTGCTTGCAGTATTTACCCTATGAGTGTTTTGGAAAGGCTCTTAAAAGCCACTCATCTAGCTTTCGCTGTGACTGTGCTGCGCCTTCCGCGCAGACCTGGCGTTTTTTGCCCCTGCATCAGACTTGCACATTTAACAAATTAAGAACGCGACAGCGTTAAAAAGGCTCGTTCATTATAAATTCTTGTGACATAGGCTTTAAAAAAATATCGTTATTCATGAGTGAGACATATAAATAGATGCAAACAAGAAAGTTTTGTGGTAGTGGGGTCGAACCCAGGTCCCCTCCATCGCCATCAGATATTATACCATGGGGCCGCATTAGTGCTCGAAAGTGCTTCAGAAAAAAAAAAACTACACAAGCTCAATATATTGCGAGAAGACACTTTAGCAATACTAATATCGCGGTGCTGAAGTGTAGAATTGCACCAGGCCTCAAAACATGCGAAATGTACAACGGGTTGGTAGTTCATAGGCGCCCTCAGCCGACTATAAATCGCCAGTTGCAGCAACAACAACGTCCAGAAAGTGAGCAGCTGCGCAGGTGGCGTGTAGCCATGCGGACGCCTACTGGGTGTTCCGCGAATTCGAATAACTAAGAATTAAGGCATAGTAGGCATTTCGCAATATTTTTGTATAGCTTAAAATGCCCATTGTCTCGCTCACAAACATTGTTTTTTTTTTACGGCATCTAATAGGAGCAATCCCGTCCTCCCTTTCTTTTAATTATAGGTCACAATCAATTCCAAATGAAGCAATGCAGAAAGTATCGGGCAAATTCACCTAATAATCGGCTTATCCCCTCCTTTAGGTACGAGCTATGTGCGGAGGAAAACAACAACAACAACAACAACAACAACATTCTTACAGAATAGTTGGGTATTATCAACAAGCGAAGGCAGACTAGCTGTTAAAAAAGGCGATGCAAATGGGACCATATTACGCTATCAGCTCCTATCTCGAATGCGAAGAACAAGTCTCTTTCATCTTTCAAGTTGTTATGCTGTTCTAAGAGAGTCGTGTGTTTCCGTCAGTTCGCCTTGAAGGATGGAACAAAAGAGATGTGTCTGTTTGCCGTGATAGTCTGAGTTCGGTAAGTATACTGCGAGAGACATATAGCAGTAACATTCTCGATTCATGGTTTGTGTATTACCGTTCATTGGCGTCTTGCTCTCAATACAACGTGAAAACTGTGAGCGAGACAGTTGAATTGATAACTGTCATACCAAAAAACCCAACATTTTTTTTCTCATTGCAACATCCTTTGGTCCAAAATAATGCGTTTTACTTCAACTCAAGGAAAACAAGTGTGAAGATAAATTGAGAAATTATTTTCATCATTCAGCATTGTGAAGCTTGAGGCCACTGGATCCCCTACTGCAGTAACGATTTGTCTTTTTTTTTTTCAGCCAGAGTTTTCAACGTCATGCACTATTTTCAGCATTGGCACACAGTAATTGTGACCTTCGGATACCAGGCCGTTGATACATTCTTCTTCTTCAGGTGCGTCCATGATAACGATAATGCAAAAATTATTTTACCCCTCGCATGCCTAAATAAATTGCTCAAAGATGGCAAGATACTAATGCCCCTGCATGCTTAAATATTTATTTCACTATTTTCCTTGGTCGTGTTACGTGAAATATTATCAGGGCTGTACGAGGAAGGAACGAAAGAACCGGCGTCCGAACGAATGTGCCCGTAGGACGTACAGATTGTCCTTACGCCGACTTGAGCTTAATTGTATTAAAATTACCACTACAGCAAATGAAGTCGTCAACGAATACAAGTATGGCAATTTATGTAGCCTTGTCGGAACATAATATGTGAACTTGTCTTTGCGTTTACACTGAACAATGGTTTGCTTAAAAAAGTCTCTTTCTGGGGCCAACGAGCAAGCGAAGACGAAGTCTAAATTCACAGTTAATAAACTGACTACTTTAAAGCACATGGATAATGCAACGTACCAACATTCAGTATTCGGTGGCGTTATTCGCAAGTTCTTGTGCACCCTGAAGTTTACTGGCAACGTTGTGTCGACACACAGGCACAACGTGAAGCATGCGTTGAACTTAGCGCGATGCTACGCAAGTGGTGATCACCCGTTTCAGTCAACTCCCTTTGATTTTCTCGCTGCTCTTGTTATCCTGCCCCTTTCCGGTTCACCCTCCAACTCTCGGCTTTTTCTAAACCCTGATGAAACGACTCTGCAATTTACGAAACAGCACGTGGTCGTACGGACCAACCTGTGGATTAAATATGTTTCACGGGGACCAATAAGTTTCACGGGTTCCGACAAAGTTTTGGAACCCTCGCTCTAGACAATTTGGAGGTCAGGGGCTGGCGCGCAAAAACACTTAGCTTTGATGCCGTTTAACGGTAAGCATGGTTTGTAGATCTGGCTTTAACTGTTTACCTAACTTGCAGAAGTATAAAGTCTTGACTCTAATGTAGATACAGATATTTGTAAAAATTGTTAACTGACCTTGTCTTTTCAGTGGCTTTTTTCTTTACTTCAAGTTGGATAAGGAGAACGGAAACAGAATCATCGTTTCAATAATCGCCATCTTACGATGGTTCATCAGGTAAGACTAAACATGACAAACATCTATAAATTCCTGCTTCGTCGACTTAGATGAAGTTGCTTTCACGCCGTGAGCATGGAGCTTCGTCGAGTCTTGTTGAACTGAAACCCGCCTTGATGGATCAATGGTTAGGGTGCTCGCGGTTTCGACCCTGGTCGCAAAGGTCGCATTTTGATGGAGGCGATACTGTAGAGGCGTACTGTGTGATGTGAGTGCTCGTTAAAGAACGCCAGCTGGTCAAAAATTATACCGGATCCCTTCATTACGGCATCTCTGTACGTTATATTGTAGTTTTGGCACCTAAAACCCCACATATTATAATTGTTGACACGCTTGAGTCAGAAAAGGTATTTATCCTCTCATTTTTAATTTATAGTAATACTCTTAAACTGAATACATTAAATCTAGGTTCGATTAGATGGTAATCGAAATGAAACGACGCTTGAGCAAACGTTTAGAAAGGATTCGTAAGCAAAGTAAAGGGGTGTATCTGAGCATGAATGTGCACACAAATTGGAGGGGGGGGGGATGTTGTGGTAGAGGGGTGGGTGTTATCTAATCAAGTAAAGGGGGAGGGGGCAAAGTATGCCCCGTATTGAGTTGTGTTAACTTTACTAATGCCGCATATTTTGCCCAGTCAGACCTGTTCTGGCATCTATCTATATATCAAAGCGAATTTCTGTCGATCAGGTTGGCCTGCTCTTGCATCTGAGATCTGCTTACTTTCTCTGAGATCTGCTTGCGAGGGGCCGCCTGGGTCAAGTATACTGTAGACACTTGCACACCATCCCTGGGTGTTATTGTCTATCAAAGTAATAAGTATAAGTTACCCTTCAAGGGTAATTAAAGTGAATTCTCGCACATCGTTGCATCAGTTATTGCATCTTTATTGATTGGTTTTGAGTCTTTTTTTCTTTTGTTATGCTTTATCTATTCTTGTTGATATGTTATTTGCCTCTCGCAGGGTTACCATTCCAACATTCTTCATGATTATGTGCATGTATCTTCTACCACTGGTGGCCTCTGGCCCGAACTCCAAAGAATATTACAATACCTTTTATGAAGAGATTCGAGACCACTGGTGGGATTTGCTATTGCAAGTTAGAAACTGGAGGGATGACTTCGTCATTGTAAGTGGCAGCCATGCATCAACAAAGCCATCTGTTCAATGTTTTTGTGTAGCTATTCCATGACTACTTCGCATGAAATACACTCCCGGTTTTGTTAAACTGTTTAGTGATTTTTAATTGTCAAGTGGAAACTTTATAATATGTTATGGCTGCATAGTAAATGTAGCCTTAGTGTAACATCTGTGAGCATTAGCATAAGATACGCGTGGTAACGTGGGTACCGAAGTATCTAACGTTACGTCGTAGTTGTGGTTAATTGGAATGCGTTAGTCACACACTTTAAACACAAACCAATTCCTGAAGAACTGCATGCACTTTGAGCACTTCTATCTATCTATCTATCTATCTATCTATCTATCTATCTATCTATCTATCTATCTATCTATCTATCTATCTATCTATCTATCTATCTATCTATCTATCTATCTATCTATCTATCTATCTATCTAGCCGCCTAGGTCTTAGTGCTCTCGGGATTTCCTCCATAATTTGGGGGTGAACCTGAACCTATAAGGCTGGGTAAGAGGATTTCATGGCTATGTCTCACTGGTCATGACATGAATAACGTGAAAATTCCGTCGCGTATGTCGTCGAACCCTTTCCTCAAGATACGTGTGACACATACCCATGCACCTCGGGTCGCTGTATTCGCGTATGCGCCACAAGTAACAGTTAATAATAACGCAGGAAAGGCAAGAACAGGCAGTAAAGAAAACGTACGAAGGGGAAGCTGAAAGCTTGCATTGAAATATCTTGGAACAGGGGTTGCGTAGATCCCACGTTTCGAAAAGCTAACTAGTCTTCCTCAAGCCTAGAACAGAACAGAACTTCTAGCCTTGAGGAAGACAAGTACGCTCGTCTAAACGGTAGCTTAACACGACCCCTGTTCATGGATTCTTCAACAATAGACATTGATAATCTAAAACCAAGAGCTTAAAGAAAAACTGACATTAGCAGCGTTAACCCGACGAATACAAGGAATAAATATCAGGGTCCCAACAGGAATCAAGCCAATCGTTATGCGTGGCAATCAAGTATTATCTACCACAGAGCCACGCTGCAGGTCTCGAAACAGCTTCGGCAAAACACCCTATGAAGGTGTAATGTTGGTGAAACTTTCATTGTGGTAGCAGTTGTGGCTATCGAATTTTACAAACATCGCCTATGAACACCAAAGAATACAGGTGTCACGTAGGGTCGACGTTAATGGAATTCTGAAGCGCCATTCTCTGAAATCGGCCTACGTTGCATTATCCACAATTTACATCCTCGCAAACAAGAGTGCTGCATATACCAGCTTACCACTTCTCGTGTTGCTAATGCATATGTTGCTCTTGACATCGTTGGGGAACTGCAGACAACTGGTTATATGAAACATGTGCGACTGTTCAACACATTCCCGTATAAGTACAACACTTCTACGTACCTTTAGCGTCGTTTCGTAGCGTTTCACTCATTAACATTACACCACAAACATGTTAACTGCGCATGTTTTGCATAATATTGTTACGACGTCGTGACGTGGTCGAAAAAAGCAGACTAGATGTCCAGATAAAAGTGTTCGTTTGCCCGAACTTGTAGCCAATAAACGAAAACTCACGTTACAGTAACACACTGACACTGATAACGGTGAACAGTGAGCTGGCCGTCAATCAACTGACAAGTGATAAGCGCCTATACGTATTTGTACATGTGCCGTCGAATATTTCAGCCACTAGTCTTCGCACAAGCTCTGTAACAAGCTCTGGCTCTCGAGTGTTCACGTGTCACACACAATCTTAACAGAACGATCTACAACAATCGTGAACTTTCTAGAACAATGAGGCGCTGTGTGCGCTGAGTATTCCAGACAGGCCTTGAGGGCGAAAACCGAATCAACAAAAATGTCAATAAGAAACGCGCGTGGCAATTTTGATTCCCGTGGCACGGTAACTTGTTGAATTTTTATATTCCACCATCTTGCCTGTTTGCTTTGCCGAACAAGTATTGCGCAGTTCCGTACATTTCAGATCTGTTTATTCTGACTGACATTTTTTTACCGTTTCAGCCAATCCTGCATCATGTCTGGTACATTTCCGCGAATTTCCAGCTATTCATCGCCGGAGTCCTAGTTATACAGTCTTTCAAAACGTGAGTTTTCGATCTTTCGATTTGCTTTAAATTTGCTTGCTACGAAGATTTCTCACAATACAATGTTATGTAGGATCCTTTCAGTTAACCTTACAAACATATTACAGTACTACCTGCGAAACCAACTTACATCGACATAAAAATAGATTCAAATAATTATCTGCATGCCCCAAATGTGTCACTGATGCTTCATTTTCTGTCCAACATTGGTCCGAACGGAGATACGATATCTCTTATATGACGCGGATGTGGTGCGCAACCGCTGAGCCGAAACTCATATAGTTAATTTCAATTCCGGCAGTGGTGGTCACATTTCGATGAAGACGAAATTCTAAAGACTTGTCTACTGCGCAATCTCTGTGCACGTTAAAGAACGCCCGATGGTCATAATTCCCAGAGTACTCCGCTACCAAGTACCTTACATTATTACACAATTTGTTTCAGGCGCGTGAACACCCCGAAAATATTTCATCCGAAGCTCATGACTATTTTCTGGCAACTTTCCTGGTATACTAGTTTTTAAAGCAAGCAGGCATGCTTAATTTGGTTGGATAAAAATTGGCAGATCGCGCGTACAGTTGGAATCGATATGTGAAGCACAAATGAGAAATAAGGATATGTCGCTTTAAAACCAGCACAACGTTACGAGGTGGGAGTAAATGATGCCATACATGACTTCCTTGTCATGATTATCATGTTCGGATGTCTCGCTCGCCTTCGCCATGTATTCACGCCACGCGATACTAAATTTAGTACATGTGGAGCTACCGATACAGGCGCGAGTACGCTATGAGCGTGGTATGTTGTCATATTCTTACATGAGATGCGTGTCAGGATTATCATGTTTGCACCACTCCTATATTTCGTCATCCACGAACGTCACGTAACACCAAATTTGGTATTTGTGGAGCTAGCAAAATGGCGGCGAGCGCATCGTGAAGGGTTCACTATACTCTAATATAGCGCTGGCACGCGCGCACACTGGGCACAGCGACGCTATACATTAGCAAAACGCGAGCTCTGTCTAACGCCAGACGCGACCAGCGTCCGTCGACGGCTTAAATGTGACATGCTGCATTTCGCTCCGATGCGTTTCCCAGACAACACTGCGTTTCCCTCTTTTCGTGACGGAGAGTTGCAGGACGCGCTGAAACGCGCATGCGTCAAGGCAACGCAGCGCGGCGCGCGCCTGCAAGTATATGGCAGGACCGACGCCTGGCGTGGCAAGGCTAAATGAACGCCGGCGAGCACGCGCACCGCGTCACGTCGAAATGTATTTGGCGCCTTGACTGTGGCATGTAGTTATGTTCTCACATGACACGCATGTCATGATAATCATGTTTGCACCGGTCACATACCTTCGTCATTCGTTGGCGACACGAATTACCGAATTTGGCATTGTGAAGCTAGCGAAACGGCCGCGAGTGCATCGTCAGTGTGGCATGTAGTCTTGTTGTTACATGACATGAATGTCGTGATTATCATGTTTGGATGTGTCATTTACCTGTATCGTCCGTTCGCGTCACATAATACTAAGTTTGGTACATGTGAACCTAGCGACACGGCCGCGAGCGCATCATGAGCGTAGCATGTAGTCATGTTGTTACATGACACGCATCTAATGTTTATTATCATATTTGCTCCAGTATCATGCCTTTGTCATCCGTTCACGTCCCGTAATATCAAACTTGGTATAAGTGAAGCTCGCGAAACGGCTGCCAGCGCATCATAAGCGCGGCATGTAGTCATGTTGTTACATGACACGCATCTCATGATCATCGTATTTGCACCAGTCACATACCTTCGTCATCCATTCACGTTCTGTAATACCAAATTTGAAATATGTGATGCCAGTGAATCGGGCGCGAGTGCATCATGAGCATGGCATGTAGTCATGTTGTTACATGACACGCATGTCGTGTTTTTTTTATGTTAGGGTCTTTCGCTTGTGTTCGCCATACAATGATGCCATACCATACCAGTTTTACAACATGCCATGTGAATGAAATCACTGCAAGAGCGGCAGGACCATGAAATGGAAATCATAACATTCATGACATACGTGTGATGATTTTCAGGTTATGACTAGTCCATTATGTTCTTCATACAGTCATGTTGTGCCATACCAAGTTTGGTGTTGATACCATTATCGAAACGGCCAGGAGAGATAAAAGTCGTAGGCGGATAGATAGATAGATAGATAGATAGATAGATAGATAGATAGATAGATAGATAGATAGATAGATAGATAGATAGATAGATAGATAGATAGATAGATAGATAGAAAACACTTCATCGTGTACACCAAGAATTCCAGTAAACTTTTGTTGCAAGTTGCAATTAAGCTTCACAGCAATATAAGCGGACACATTTACTGAGTTAACTGCATCTTACAGCACAGGAAAAATACTCGCTCGTTTTTCCATAATCCTAGTAGAGAAATGCATGCCCCACGTTTACACATTCCTTCCGTGGCAAAACACAACGGACAAACAGACGAACACAATGCGAGGGTCAGCCTTCAAATGATATTTGTTGTTGTTGTTGTTGTTGTTGTTGTTGTTGTTGTTGTTGTTGTTGTTGTTGTTGTTGTTGTTGTTGTTGTTGTTGTTGTTGTTGTTGTTGTTGTTGTTGTTGTTGTTGTTGTTGTTGTTGTTGTTGTTGTTGTTGTTTAGCGCGTCCTTCGTTTCACCTAGTGTTTTTGTTCGTTCTTGCAGGAAGAAGTGGCTTGTTTGCTGGATATTCGGAGCGTTGTCCTTGGCATCTTGCGCGATTTCTGCATGGCAGATATACGGAACGGACATCCCACCCTTCTTGATTGCCTTAAACACGTCTTACAGGTAGGTGGCTCAAATTGTGACGGATGAGTCATGGGTCCCTCTGGTCTTAGCCACCCACACCACCTGGTTGTACAGCGCTGGCTGGCCGGCCAGGTCAGAGCTGCAGCGTGACTCTCCCACTGCTCCAAAGTGTGCGCTGGGGTCATGCCCGTGTCTGTGAGGTTGAAACGCTCTGGAATTATTTTACTAAGTATCGACCTAAGTATCAAAATTTATTGCTTCCTGAATCGATCACCGCAAAAAAAAAATTATTGCATCTCCGCTACTGATTGCCCATCCCAGCAAACTGCCGGAAATAATAAAGTCTACACTCTCCCTCTCTCCGCTACTGTTAAACCACAGTAAATATAGCGCATGCAGGTTAGCAGTGATTCCAGTTCGTAGACTTCCCACTGGTCCGTTTACGAAAGCGGCGATGACGTGAGTGTTTGAAGTAAGCGTATAGGGTTTCCCCGACACGAAGAGAATCTTCTTACAGAGGTCCACAAGCTTGGTGTGCGACAATACGCGCTACTTTTTTTTCTGCGCTTTAGCGATTTCCTGCTTCTTACAGTAATTGAGGTACCCGTCGTCTGCAGCGGGTTCCGTCGGTTCTTTCCTCTATCAGACGTAGTAACGCGGTGCCCGTGAAGCGCAGGAAGAGGAGCATTCGCTCTCTCGGCGAAGCTCTGGAGCGTCTTCTCGGGCGTCACCCTAGTCATTTGGATGTTTCCGAAACATTTTTTTATCAATTTTAAGTTAATTATTGTTATACTTCTTGGTTAATTTTGTCGATCGTATCACTTTGGACATTTTTCACTCGCTTCAACCCGCTCTTTAGCATTACTTGCCTTGTTTGCAGAGCGCTTGACTGTGAGTGCCACCATGTCAGTTGACGTGGAGGAATGGGTGACAATTAGGGCTCTTAAATTGTGGCGTACTTGAAAATTTGTGAACTCGTCAAGAACGAGAGGAGTCGCAGGAATTTGTCATGTGCTTCAAGCTCCTTCTCTCTCCTCTCGTCCCGACGAGTGCACTGAGAGCCACACCGGGAGCCAGCACGCGTAATAAACTTCGACACTCGTCATAAACCGCGATCGCTATCTACCGTTATTATTACTCTGTGCGTGAAGGTGGCTCCCTGCGTAAGGTTAGTACACTGTGGAGCGTGGCGCCCGCACGTGGCGGCACCCTGTGGCAAGGGGCATATCTAATCCAAGCACTGCTTTTTACTGATGGCGGCTATTGACCAATAGGATTACACCTGCCGTTCGACGTCACGCAGAAGGCGCTGGCAGGTGCGAACAGAGTGGCAGAGGAATATGTATAAAAAGAGGTCGCCTGAGGAAATGGTGACATCGCGCTCGGCTTGTAATCTCTTCTTGCCGAGCAAGACTTCAAGACTTGGCTGAGATGTTGTTAACAGTGTCACCTCTCAGCCGGATGTCTTTTCTCATCAAGCCCGAATAGTGGTTCATGAAGCCCTTAAAGTTGAAGTTAGTATGGTGTTTTTCATATTAAAAAAATTTATAGCAGATCCCTACTCAACGTGGGGACCCCCGCCGCGGTGGCCCAGTGGTTAATGTACTCGGCTTCTAACCCGCAGGTCGTGGGATCGAATCCCGGCTGGTGCCGCTGCATTTCTAATGGAGGCGGGAATGTTGTAGGCCCATGTGCTCAGGTTTGGGTGCACGTTAAAGAACCTCAGGTGGTCGAAATTTCCGGAGCCCTCCACTATGCAACGTTTCTCATAATCATACTGTGGTTTTGGGCCGTTAAATCCCACATATCAATTAATGCAACGCGGGGTACTGGTGATCGCGTTCCTATAAATGACGCTAGCATTTTTTATCACTGTAGGTAGCGTGTAGACAAGCACTATCGGTTAATTGAGAGGAAGTAGTACGTTTACGGGCCCAGAACTATGCACGTCGTGATTATGAGACATGTCATAGTGGATGGCTGCGGAAGTTTCGAGCCCCTGGAGGTTTTTTAACTTGCACCTAAGCGAGGGGATGTGTGTCTGAAACATTCCGCGCAACCGATTTCACCTGACACGTCTCATTGTACAGATAACGATTGCCGGCGTGTTGCGTTTTCTCCAGGAAATTCCTGGAGACGGTGAATAAATACTACTCGCTACCTTTCTACCACGGCGTGTGCTTCTTCTCCGGCTGCGTGACGTTCCTGGCTGTGCAGAAGTACGGCGCAAGAAGATTACCCGGGGTAAGTACACATCATTTGGCGTCACTTCTAACACTCGACCAGTGGCATTTTTGTTTACGCAGTGCGTTATTTTGCAATTGTGTTCCCCTCTTCAAGGACACAGCGACGCTGTACAAACACAGAGATGAAAGCACTCGAGTCATTGTCGAGGCCGCGCAGATGGCACGCGAACAGGTGCCTTGTATTAGCAAGCCCTCCGTGGCTTTGTCCGAGAAGGAACGCAGGTTCCTCGAAGGTTTCGGTGCGGGCAGGTAGTTATGTTATTTTATCTTTACCTTTCTGTTTCGTTTTCTTCTAGGTTTTTTCTTTGCTGTTTTTCAGTGCCTTTGGTTTTGTTTGTTTTTGTTTTTTCTTACTCATGTTCTGCTCTTTGTGCCATATGGTTTTTATCACATGGTCACTGTCTCCTCTATATATTTTCGTGCTCTGCGCAATAAACTCAGTTGGAAGTTAGCGCTCGTGTCTTTCGTGTCCTTCTTGTCTCTGTGTCGTCGTTTTGTTCTCGCGCTATAACTATCGTCATGCCATACCAACTAGCCCAAGCTGCCACACTTCTAAGTTATTTTCCCGTTCTTTTGCTGCCCGATGTCGTTCTGCTAGGGGAGCGCAGATTTTGTGGGTGATCCAGGACAACCGAGGTCAAAATCTCCAAGTTGTAATGACATGACGCGCAGAGACTCTACCCATACTTTGCCATAGCATGGGTACGAAGCTTGTGCACCAAAGCATAGGTACGGCTTACACGTGCAGTTACACATGCAGGCCTGTACGGCTTACACATGCAGTTATCCAACAGATTAGAAGCTGAAGAAGCGTCGAAAGGCCGGGCTAATTGGTACGTGTCTCAAAGGAGAGCACCGGTCTTCTTTTTTTTCTCGCCCCGTGTTTGCTCTCTAAATTCCATCTTCGAGATTACAAGCTTCATCCTTAAACATAGCAACAATTCACGAAGCACAGGCCTCGCAAGATTTAGTAGCCCAATGCATGCGTAAAGGTGCGCTACACAAGTTACTGATTATGCAGCTACCCACCCGACTGTCTACTACTCTAAAGTAACGAGGTGTTATGGTTAACCAACAGGTCCTCCAGGCAATCTTCTGGTGCACAGCGCTATTCTGCGGCCTCTTCTGTCTCTTTGTGAAACACCTGTGGTACCGAAGTGACGGCCGAGCCAGCGAGCCAACACGCATGGCGTACGCCTTCATCGACCGGATTCTGTGGTCCGTGTGTGTCTCCTGGTTCGTGTTTGCTTGCGCCACCTGCAAAGCAGGTGAGTGACGAGCCGTATTTACTCTGCAGGAAAACTTGCTCACTATATTCACTCGCAACCTAAGAATAAGTATAGGTCGACCCACGAGGCCTGATTGCCCTTCTTTTCCATGCCTCCATGCCACAAAGAAAGTAGTTCCCAAACAGTGGCCATAATTTTCACGCAAGTAACCATAATCTTACAATACTTGATTGGTATTGAAATACATAATCCGAAGCTCGTTAATTATACTTGAGAAAGCGCGGACTTCCACGTCACCTTAGCAATATATTTGTTGTTTAAATGGCACCCCCCACTGCACTCATCTTGGAGTCTACGAAGAAGCAATGTATACATCTCTCAAAGGCGGTGTTTTTGCGTGGTACCTAAGGTTGTACTGAACAAACAATGCCGCATTTAACGCAAAGTTTAGAATTCAGAAATTCTTATTTTGCGGTTTCACAAAATGAAACAGAGGCAATAATCACATTTCATTAGCTGGTTTGCTATTGTTTCAGGAAACTTTAACTGCCAGGTTTCTTCACTGCCTTCTGTAACTATGGCAACTTTGACTCAAAGCGAAAAATGGAGAAGAGATCTGAAATTTCGATTCTTGTGCTGCGCTAAAAAACAAATGGGCGTTTCGCGTCACCACGCTTGTCATCGTTTTTGAGGTAAACGCTAATGTTTCATTCGACGCCTTGTTTCACCAAAATAAAAGCGCGTATAGCACGCATTGTGCTTAACATTGGAGATCATTGCATACGTTGTTGTTAAGGTAATGACCAAGGCGCTGTATGCGGCTATAGTAGCGGCGACTAAAACTGTAGGTGAAGTTTTTTTTTCTTTTTTCGACAACTTCCACTCTGTGGTGTTGCCGTCACCCCGTCAAGTCCTTGAATATTCTACTTTTTCAAAGCGGGGCCCAGTTTTGCTACAACAGGGTCCACTACCTTCAATGAGTGTGTATGTGCAAAGGTGTGTCTGTGTAGGCAAGGGGGTCTTCTCTCTCTCTCTCTCTCTCTCACACACACACACGCACACACACACACACACACACACACACACACGCTATGACCACAATGATGTTTTGAATGCATACAGCAATGCATATTCTCCCCACCTGGTTTGCTTACTCTCGTACTGTGTGACACTGGCAGGTCCTTTCGGTTGCCTTTTTCTCAAACCTCGCCCGCACTTACAAAAATCATATGGAAGCACAACACAGCGCATATCACCAAGATCACCAAGACTCCCACGTTGCGACACCCAGATAACACACTCACGCAAGCACATGTGACAACGCTGATGCCACACCTTTTGCGGGTGATAAATCACAGACGCGCACATTCCACAGAACACAGACGCGTACGTTCGGACTTCACCTTCACCTTACTGCACATTAATGACCACGACGACAGTCGTCGAGAGTTGGCATCCTATGTGACCCAGATAATAGACGCCGTGTTGCTGCTTCACGCTGCCAAACCGACGGAATGCGGTAAAGCTCTGCCGCTTCGGTGCACTTGAAACGCTGCAAGATCATAAACGCTAGCATCGAATGATGGCCGACGACGATGATGCTGATGACGAGTGGATAGCTGCTTCTTGACGAAGAAAACACAGAAAACGAAATGGACGCCCGGGGGTCTCGGTGCAGCGGCACACCGCCTCTTGTCGCGAACGGCACTATGCTGAATTTGTCATTGCTTCATCGTGGCTCTTACGTGATAATAATGAGCGGCCGTGGTTGGACGCACATAATATAAATGGACAGTGGTACACTTTACTTTTTATACTTAGCTTGTCACCGACTATGAAAGTCTTGTTTAGCTGGCATGATATCTTGTGGTCACAGGCGTGCGCAAGGTTCCCCAATCAAGGGAGATCGAAAAAAAAAATAAACGTACACATCTCCTAGTCAAGGAGCTTTGAGAAGTACGCGAATCAGCCATTGGTCTACACAAAGTTCTGTAAAGAGGTGCTCATCATTTTTACCGTAGACGTTCATGTTTCCATACATAACCGCTTTGCGAACCCTCGCCTCCACCTCACTTACGTTCATGTCTTCATTCATACTACCACACCGTGTGAGAGGGAGAGAGAGAGATGAGTAAGGTCTTTTATTATGAACAGCAGCGCGACGCTACTATATGTTCTGCTCTCATAGTATAGCACGCGCCGAGGTGGAGGGAGGGCTCTACCAGAGCACCATCTAAGAAGAGTGAGCGCTTTCATTACGCAGAGCAGCGCCGCGCCGCTAGTATAGTCTCTACTCATACCAGCGCACGCGGCCGAGCTAAGCATGCGCTCTATCACTGAGCCCTCTAGTGATCGATTCGAGTACTAACGTAGCTACAACACGCCCCCTGTCCGTCGAAGTAGCGTGGCTACGACGACAGACAGGGGACAAGCCCGCAAGAGCGGCAGGCCTGAGTTACCATAAGCTGCTTCGCATCTAAAATTATAATTGAAGGTTTTTCACGATATGTTGAATGATACCGTTTCATAAATAGACATTCTGACTGGTTTAACGCTGTGGTCCACTAAAGAAAACAGGCTCTATGTAAGCTCATTGTTGGCCCCTTTTTGCACTTCACAGGTCCGCTAAGCCGGCTCCTCTCGTGGGAAGGCATGATCCCTCTGGGCCGACTCTCGTTCGGCGTGTACCTTTTGCACGTGCCCATACAAACACTGTCCTACAACATCGCCCGGGAGCGAAGGTTCTATTCGCACTATACACTGGTGAGTGGGTCACTTTTGCTTTCTCTCAAAATTGGGTGAAAAACTGTGTCACACTGTCCTACAACATCGCCAGGGAGCGAAGTGGTGAGTGGGTCACTTTTGCTTTCTCTCAAAATTTAGTGAAAAACTGTGTCTCATTATTGAGCCAGTAGTGGTAGTATTGTCGAAGAAATGAATGTCATGCCAGCGATACACTATTCGAGTACATTCGTGTATTGAGAAGAGTTTCACTTTGGACGGGTTGGAGTGTATATTCGTTGACGAAGTGTTTGTCGGCCTAACGGGTACGGCGTCAGAAATACTGCACGCCAGTGGCTGTGTTACAATTCTGGACAGCTTCGTGCCTTGCCCCGCCGCGGTGGTCTAGTGCCTAAGGTACTCGGCTGCTAACCCGCAGGTCGTGGGATCGAATCCCGGCTACGGCGGCTGCATTTCTGATGGAGGCAGAAATGTTGTAGGCCCTTGTGCTCAGATTTGGGCGCACGTTAAAGAACCCCAGGTGGTCGAAATTTCCGGAGCCCTCCACTACGGCGTCTCTCATAATCATAATGTGGTTTTGGGACGTTAAACCCCACACATCAATCAATCAATCAGCTTCGTGCCTAGTCTATGACGACAGCTTAGAAAACCACGGATCCTATGCGTGTCCCGTAGCCGGGATTCGATGGAACACCATCTCGCGTCGAGAACATAAAGCTAAGAAAAACAGACGTAATTGATATGTTTTACTTCTTTTATCTTCGTATCTACCAAAAGATATAGCTGAGCGCCCTCAAAAGTGTCCGACTGTGCGCAGACGACTGTAACTGTGACATCCGAGCTATCCAAGTACTTGCTGAGCCACCATGTTGTTTGGACTGTAAAGTAGCCTGCGGGGGTTTTGTCTACGATGCCATCATTTCGAAGCTGTTTATTTTGCCATCCACGTCACTATTGGAATGGGACTTCAGATGGCCGCTCTCCACCTATAGTTGTTTCTTAAGCCGTCTGCGGTGAGTATTGAAACACACCCACTGTTTGGAAGCAAACGCGTGATAATAAGTAGAAAGACAGACAGAAAATAAAATTCGGCAAGTCCCACGTATTCGACGTTATGTGAAAGCATACAGATGGCTTGTGACCGAGTTGTAATGACACGTTATGAAACTACGCTAGAAAATATATGTACAAATATTGCACGCGCAGACAAATGTTGAACAGTTGCAGATGTGTATATAACCAGTTGTTTGCACTTGCGCAGCTATGCCAACAGGAACATGAGTACTAACAATACCAGCAGCGATAAACAGATATGAGACACAGGTGCTCGCGAGGGTGCTAGTCATGGGCACTGCTACATAAACAACTTCGGTGGAAGGTACCTAAGTACAAATTACGTTAACTCAACGTCACAGCTGTTTCACAAGAGTCTAGCCGAGTTGACAACCAACGTCACCCTGGCGCCCCTGCGGGATCCTGGCACTATCTCCGCTGACGGTACCATCGACGTTGACTCCTGGCTGCGCCGGTACGAGCACTTCAGTGCTACCCACCGCTGGGATTGCACGCTCATGCTCACGAATCTTCTGTTCCACCACGACGGTACGCCGTGGACGTAGTTCAAAACCAATGAAGCCGAAATCGAGAGCTGGGATCTCTTCAAAACGAAGATCCGTGATCTTTCTGGCAATTCATCTGGTCGTCAGCTTGCTACAAAGAAGACTCTCGCCACTCGCACCCAGACGTCTACTGAATCGTACGTCTCATACATTCTTGACGTCTTGGCGCTTTGTAGCAAGGTCAACCAGCGCATGTCGGAAGACGAGTAAGTTAATCACGTCTTTAAAGGAATTGCTGACGGTGCCTTAAACCTTCTGGTTTTTAATTATGTCACGAGCTTCGACATGGTCCTGACAGAATGCCGCCGTCTAGAACAAGCTAAAACCCGCCGCGTCACGCACGGTATTACGCGCCTGCCGAACAGGGCGGCTACTTCCTCATGCGATGGCACCTTCCGCCAAGTTCCCCGATGTGACAACTCACCCGCATCATTCGTCGCGAGGTGGAGGCAGCCCAACCGGTAATCACTCCATTCCCAACGCCTGATCCTTCACCGACCACGATCTCACTGATACAAGACATCGTTCGTCAAGAATTATCGAACGTCGGCCTACACCCTCTTCAACCAGTCCACTCTGCCGAGCCCACCGCTCATCACTTTGGTTACAACTACTCTCGACAACGCAATTTGTCCGAATGGCGAACACTGGACGACAAGCCCATATGCTTCAACTGCCAACGCGTCGGTCATATCGCTCGTCACTGCCGCAATCACTGGGCTCGCCTGCACACTATAGGCCTCCCCCCCCCCCCCCCCCGGTCATTTCTCTCCACCAGTCATCCTCAGCATTTGATTCCCCTATGCCGACCATATTCTCTGATTCTACCACATCTCTGACGAGACCTCGCTACGCCCGCTCACCATCGCCTGCTCGTCGTCAATCTTATTCGCCCTCGCAGCGCCGTCCTGCCTCTCCAAACTATTCGCAGCGCCCCCGACCGGAAAACTAGGCAGTGCAGCTTCTGGAGGTGGAGCTGCATTGACGATGACCCCTAGAAGAAATCCTCGTGTAACATTGCCCACCACTCAGAATCTTTTGGATGTTACTTTAGACAACGTACCTGTGCACGCGTTGATCGATACCGGCGCGCATGTGTCAGTGCTGCTCTTCGTCACCGACTAAAGAAAGTTATTCATCATCATCATCAGCCTGACTACGTCCACTGCAGGACAAAGGCCTCTCCCATGTTCCGCCAGTTAACCCGGTCCTGTGCTTGCTGCTGCCAATTTACACCCGCAAACTTCTTAATCTCATCTACCCACCTAACCTTCTGTCTCCCCCTAACCCGCTTCCCTTCTCTGGGAAGCCAGTTAGTTACCCTTAATGATCAGCGGTTATCCTGTCTACGCGCTACATGCCCGGGTCATGTCCATTTCCTCTTCTTTATTTCAACTATGATATCCTAAACTCCCGTTTGTCCCCTAATCCACTCTGCTCTCTTCTTGTCTCTTAAGGTTACACCTACCATTTTTCTTTCTATTGCTCGCTGCGTCGTCTTCAATTTAAGCTGTACCCTCTTTGTAAGTCTCCAGGTTTCTGCTCCGTAGCTAAGTACCGGCAAGATACAGCTGTTATATACCTTCCTCTTGAGGGATAGTGGCAATCTACCTGTCATTATTTGAGAGTGCTTGCCGAATGTGCTCCACCCCATTCTTATTCTTCTAGTTACTTCAATCTCGTGGTTAGGCTCAGCGGTTATTACCTGCCCTAAGTAGACATAGTCTTTTACAACTTCAAGTGCACTATTACCTATCTCGAAGCGCTGCTTCTTTCCGAGGCTGTTGTACATTATTTTCGTTTTCTGCAGATTAATTTTAAGACCCACCTTTCTGCTCTCCTTGTCTAACTCCGTAATCATGAGTTGCAATTCGTCCCCTGAGTTACTCAGCAATGCAATGTCATCGGCAAAGCGCAGGTTACTAAGGTATTCTCCATTAACTCTTATCTCTAACTGTTCCCATTCTAGGCTTCTGAAAACCTCCTGTAAGCATGCGGTAAATAGCATTGGAGAGATTGTGTCCCCCTGCCCTACACCCTTCTTGATTGGTATTCTGTTGCTTTCTTTATGAAGCACTATGGTAGCAGTTGATCCCCTGTCCGCCTTGAACCGAGCCGTTCGTGTCGCCGATGGGGGAACTGCCGCCATTATTGGTCTGTGCTCTCCCCGTGTGGCTATTGCTGATAGAAGCACTGCTGTTATTTACACCGTTATCGAAAATTGCCCTCATGATCTAATTCTAGGTAAGGATTTTCTAACCGCTCACTCTGCCCTTATAGACTGTTCAGCCGGCTGTCTTGAGCTTGAGATGCCTCTACTTTCCGATCCGGCCGACCCACCTCAAAGCCGTCTTTGCTGCATCGATTTCGCACGCCTTCCACCTAACTGTGTTACACACATCGACTTCTCCTCTGCGCCACCTGTACCTGACGGCCATTATATGGTTGCATCAATTCATGCCGTGATGCTTACGCATGGCGTCGCTGTTCCGCACACAATTTTGACAATTTTTGGGAACCGCACATGCCTTTCGATTGTAAATTTTGCCCTAACTGCCAAAATTCTTCCCCTAGGTATCTCCCGGGCCGAAATTACTGCCCTACAGGACCATACTGTTGATCCCTTCAGAGCGGACGATTGCTGCAGCTCAGACCATGATCCAAATCTATCACGTTCATCATGCGTCGACGTTGACCGCATGGTACCATCAGATCTCGTTTCTGATCAAGCGGAAGCCCTCCGTCACGTCCTGGAGTCCTATCGTGACATTTTCGACTTCACCAGCACGTCCATAATCCGAATGAGTGCTGTTACTCATCCCATCAATACTGGTGACGCGAGTCCCATTCACCGACGTCCATATCCGTGTTTCCGCGTCCGAGCGTACAGTCATACACAGGAAGTCGAAAAGATGCTTGCAAAAGACATAATCGAGCCCTCGTATAGCCTCTGGGCTTCTCCTGTCGTCCTAATCAGAAAGAAGGATATAACGTGGTGCTTTTGTGTATATTATCGGCAACTCAACAAAATTACGAGGAAAGATGTTTGCCCGTTGCCTACAATCGACGACGCCTTACGGTGCCAAGTATTTTTCCTCTACCGACCTTCGATCTTGCTATTGGCAGATCACTGTCGACGAGGTGGACCGTGAGAACACCGCTTTCGTCACTTCTTACGGTCTTTATCTATTCAAATTTATGCGCTTCGGTGCCGGTAATCCGCCGGCCACATTCAAAAGAATGATGGACTCAATGCTCCAAGGGTTCAAATGGTCAATCTGCTCCCATCTCGATCGTTTATTGGCAATTATTGAAATTTTTCGTCGAGCCGGACTTCAATTGAGCTCTTTGAAATGCCACTTCGCTCATCGTCGAATAACCGTATACTTGGCCACCTCGACA